TTTGTCGGTTGTGAGACCAGTAGAGGGGAGAATCGGGATGGCGTTGCATTTCTTAGCCACCTCAACAAAATTCTCCAGGGCAGTCTCCGGTGTTGGCTTGACGAAGAGGTTCTTGACCTTTCTGGCACTGGCTTCCTCGATGAACTTGCTGAGCTCACTCGATGAAGTATCGAAGTCCTTGATCAACAGGCCGCTTTCCGTAGCCGCGGAAAGGTCAAGGTTACACACAGTCGGGATAACTCTTGCGCCAAACTCTGTGTACTCGGAAATGTTCTCGGAGGGGACAAACACTTTTCTTACCCCGCCATCGAGGAGAGCAACCACGTCGTCAGGGCTGCTCAGGTTCGTAGCGTCCATGTGGACAATATTTCCGGCGGCGGGACGGCCCCAATCCTTGGAAGCTGTCTCATAGAAAGGAGCTCCAAGAAGAGCGACCTCCTGAAGAGTGAGGCCATTGTCGGCAGCTTGTCCCTCAGGACTAGCTACACTGACCAGGAACGGCAATGGGAGGGTCGTCTCCATACTGCAAGGACCCAGGAGGAAGAATTGATGTCAAAAAACTCAAAAGGACAAAGTATGGCCGCGAATTGTTGATTGGAAGTTCTAGATAAGTGAGTCAAGGCCGATCGCCCGCGAGAAAAGTTGTGAGTGATGACTGAGTCCTGCATCGGCGGCAACTGGTGGGGCACACCTTCCGTCTTTTCGCCCCTGCCCCTCCATCGCTTCCTTCCCACTCCCGAGAAGCAAATCCGGCTTGCGCAAATGGATGAAAAATTAAGGTGTGGTCTGTGCTTCCACTGCAGGGTATCTTCGGATTATCAGAAAGTCCGAGGCACTGCTCGCTCAACCGCAGCCGCATGAAGCTATCAAACGACTGGCCATCAAACGGGAAATTCTTCCAAACTTCCTAATACACACCAAGCCCGCAAATTCGCTGTTTGTTTTATTCTCCCATCTTATCCAAATTCAAAAACTCATCATCCTCATCTATTTCCACATTTATTCCATCGCAAAAGCTGGCCTAATTGTGGACGCGACAATTGCATCGCGCCGGCGCGACACTCGAAAGCTAGCCTCGCGATCAACTTAGACATCTCACGACCGGTCGCATCGCCACTTTCTCACTTCTCATTCGAAACATTGCAGCACCGCCGAACATGGCATCGAGTCAACCCCAGACGAACGGGGTGCCAGCCTCTTCAGCAGGCACTTCGCAAACCGTCCCCAATACCCAGACCACAACTACCAGCCAACCTTCCGCCTCCTCACAAAACGCTCCTCCTCCTGCGCCATCAAGCTCGGCACCTCGCCCTCGCGACTCTCGTCTCGTCGAGCTCCTGTTGACCTCCCAGGGCGTCACCGCATACGAGCAGCGCGTGCCCCTCCTCCTACTCGATTTTGCGTACCGCCACACCTCCTCCGTGCTTAACGATGCACTACACCTCTCCGGCGACCCTTATGTCACTCACGCGGGTTCCAAGCCATCAGCAAACTCGGGCGCAATCTCCGCGCCTGCAGGAGACGCAGCAGTAACAGCCAACGCCGTGAAGCTCGCCATAGCGGCGCGCCTCAGCTACCAGTTCCGCGGGGGCAGTGGAGGTGGTGGCATCAGCAAGGACTACATGCAAGAGCTGGCGCGCGAGCGGAACAAGGTGGCACTTCCCAAGATTGTACCCAGCGAATGGGGTGTTCGACTACCAAGCGAGCGGTTCGTGCTGAGCGGAACGAGCTGGGGCTTGAAGGATATGTGGGATGAGGCGGATGACGACGAGGATATGGAAGGCGATGCCATGGAGGGCATCGAAGGTCCCGAGCCGGAGGATATCGGCGGCGATGGTGTGGAGGGAGGCACGGTGGAGGATATGTTTGGTGAGGATGTGGATGAGGAGATGGCCGAGGAGGGCTAGGTGGCTCCCTCGTCAACCCAAGGACATGCACAAAACGGGACACACGCGAACGGTGTCAATGGTGTTTAGGGCGTTCAGGACAATGGAAGGCAGTAGGTTATAGATACCTATTTCATGAGGGCAACCGTTGCCTGTTGGCTCGGACCTAGGCTTAAGCTTTATCCTCATTTCTCCGTGAACATGTCATGTGCCTGCATCGCAACAGCGCGGTATTTGCACTCAGTCCACCCACGATGATATCCAAATCCATCGTTCGTGTCGCACAGGCATCTACCCGCTAAGTATCCCAGAGTTTTAGAAGGACCATCTCCAACACAAGCTCTCATATACAACAGCCTCGACATCAATCACCGAGCCCCCAAGAAGTCTTGTGCAGATGAGGCTGCCTTCCGGAGAGCCGCCAGGGGAGTTTTTGATGAACAATTCCAGGTCCTGCCTTGGTACAAACGTTAGTTTTATACATTTCCCAACTCGGTCATTTACATTGCGAGGTAATTCATCTCTGCCTACCCATTCAGATTACAATCCAAGGTTGACAAGAAAGACGATAATCCAAGTCCTTCCCAGTCCTTCCCTCTTGCTCAGTATCTATCTACCTAGACATAGTCCCTTGTCAATATCAACCAGAGCCAAACTCCCAAGGCGATCTATTCATAGCCCTCACTGCCAAGCCATGGGCCTGTTGCTCACACCATCATGAGTACCCTTGTCTCGGCTCGAGGTGCTTTTATTCTTCGTGTTATGATTCTTCCTCGTCATGAATCACTGGACCACCGATACCGGCATGAACAGATGTTTCTGCTGACAGGGACGTCACTGCAAAAATGAGAAATAGAAACTTCACAATGAGGCTACGTGGTGGCATTCATAATCAAGACACAATTATCACAACTCCACGTTACCTAGTATGAACAGAGGAAATCTTATGGTACACTAGGCCTGTAAACGGTATCTCATACACTCTATACCCGGGTCTCGATTTTCGCAAACCTGACTGGCCCTTTCTACCTTAAAACTTGGGCTTCATGGTGTTGCGGAGTCTCTGGTAGTCAAAGAGAGCCTCGATAGTACCCACCGCGCTGACGGCGATATCCCGGTCCCAGAGTTTTCGGTTGGCAAAGTCCATGATATCCTTCTCAGTGATGGCGTCGATCTTGCGCTCGATCTCGCCGGGGGCCATGCGGCGGCCGGTGGTGACGAGCTGTCGGCCAATGTCCTCGGCAACGGCAGTGGTGCCGTCGAGGGACAGGAGGATGGAAGCCTTGAGCTGAGCCTTGGCACGCTCGGTCTCGGCACCGCTGACGTTGGTGCAGAGACGCATCCACTCGCGGATGGCGAAGTGGACAAGGTCGTCGACTCGGTCAGGCTTGTCGGAGACGAGGTAGATACCCCAGAGACTTGAGATGGTTAGTCATATTAACATATACGTCACACACATAAAACTTACCCAGTGTCGCTGTAGCTGGTAGAGAAGCTCATGAAGCTGTTGGCGATATCGTGCTTGTGGACCCAGCCGCTGAGCTTGCTGCCCTGGTGGGGAGCCTGACCAACAGCCTTGTCGTAGTTGCCAACGATAGCCTGGGCAACGAGGGCAGTGAAGTAGTCCTCCGAGTTCCAGCTGACACCCTCAACGGCCAGAGCAATGTTGGCAGTGGGCATGGCGTCATCACGGACACGCACATCGGAACCCATGAAGTCAGCCTTGGTCTTGGAGAGCAGGTAGGCGCTGTTCTTGGGGCCGCTGCTGGGGAGACCGCTGAAGTGCTTCTCAGCGAGCTCAACGAGCTGCTCGTGGGGGATGCCGCCAGCACCGACAAGAACCATGCGGTCAGCAGTGTAGTTGTTCTTGATGTAGTTGACGAGCTCGGTTCGGGTGATGTCGCGGATGTTCTGGCGGGGGCCGAGGATGGTGCGGCCAAGAGGCTGGTGCTGGAAAGCAGTGGCGTGGAGGTGGTCAAAGACAACCTCCTCGACCTGCTTCTCAACCTCCTCGGACTCTCGGAGGATAACGTCGCGCTCGCGCTCAATGGCGGATTGCTCGAGCAGGGAGTTCTGGAGAATGTCGGAGAGGATATCGACGCACTGGGGGACGTCAGAGTTGAAGGCCTTGGCGAAGTAGACGGTGTTCTCGCGCTGGATGGTCGTTAGCCTCGTGAAATTGTGTATCCCTTCATCCGACTGACCGAGGTGTAGGCGTTCAAGTGGCCACCCATGTTCTCAATCTCCAATTCCAATTGCTGCTGAGAACGCTTGGCCGTTCCCTATGGTGCTGTTAGTGATGGATCTGGACCCATTGATGGGTTGCCGAACCTTGAAGGCGAGATGCTCGAGGAAGTGCGCGGTGCCATTGGTCTCGTCAGTCTCAGCCCGGGAACCAGCGTCAATCCACACGCCGACGGTCGAGGTTTGCGCAAAGGGGGAGTGCTCGGTCGCGACCTGGGGTATACGGGTCAGCAATACATTCCGAGATGGGTGTCGAGGCCAATTGGCCTCGGTAGACGGTGCTCACAGTCAATCCATTGCGAAGAGTTGTGGTCTGAGTCTTGCCGACGGTAGAGGGCGTGGCAAAGCCTCGTGTCAAGGGAGCGGCGGCCGAAAGACCAGCACGGTTTCGCAGACCTCGGGAGAGGTTCAAAGCTAGTCTCCGGGACGCCATGACGGAGGTTTGGAGGGTCAACGCTGAATTGAGTGGTTTGATGAAATCTTTCGATCTGGCTCGGCTAGAAGCTTTACTGAGATAATTTGCAGCCTGAGCAATTAGGCGGAGCGCTTAGTCATTCCGACCGTCTCCGAATCAGAGCGACCCGGAAGGAAGGCACTGTCCAATGGGAGCTACCGATTACTAACCGGTACCGACTCCACCGAACCGCCACTCATCAGCACGCCTGTCTATTTTCGTCCTTGCCAGGGCGGCAGCTCCAAGTACACACGAACGCAGAGCATCAACATCGAATTGTTGATGTGACTGTGGTATCATCGCAAGCAGAAACGAATCGTCTTATACGACATCTTTGAGTCTCAAGTTCAACCTCTCTAATAAACCTATACTTGCTCAAACCTGCTTCCTTGTTCTTGTTCTTCCTGTCCCTTGCAATGCCCTCTGACAACTACGACTTTGGCCAAGTCTTTCAAGCTGTCTACATCGCCAAGCAGAAACCTGCTCCTCCTCCGGTCCCTGAAAGCATGAAGGCAGTTCTTCAGAGTTACCCACCATTGGGCCAGGTAACTCCTGTCCAAGGCCAAGACATCACTTTGTCTGCTGTTCTGGAAATACCCAAGTCTCGAGCTACTGAAGCTTGGGAGATATCTCTGTGGCATTCACTAGATGGCTCAGACTGGAAGGATGCCCATATGTGCCCCGTTGAGGACGCTCTAGCCCCTCAAACTTTGCAGTCTATACCCGAATCTGTGTCTCGCTTCCACTTTACATCGTCTCTCTCGTTTGACACCTCAGTGCGGTTTACTCTCAAGTTTCGGCATAGTCCAGATGTCGACTGGAGGTGGATACGCGATGAACAAGGCCTAGATGATGGCCTGATCGTCAGTACTGCCGCTGGGGTCTCATCTAACAATCTATCTGATCTTATACCTGATCTCAATTCTGAGGACTGGGTCATCAAGTCGTGCCTAAGCCAGTCCCCCAGGACATCCCTCTGGTCACTCGAAACCGTGATCGCGCCAGCCCAGGGAGACGATTCGAGCTATAAAGATATTACTATCGGTACTCCATGGGGATCTTTCGCGAGGTAAGTGAGACCAGGACGACGACGCTGTACACCGGCAGATGCTGTACCAATCATCTCGTCTGACATGAAGCAGGTGGTTTGCCCTTGTGCGACTTTGGTCACCTTGGCTAGCCCCTCGTCATGGAAAGGCGCAATTTTCCCTTGACAATGACGGAATTCTTTGTTGTTTTCTAAGCCCCCAGGGAAAAACCCTTGTCTTCCTTGCAGTCAGTGGTCTTAACCATGTCTTGCCGGTCTTCCGACAAGGGTCCAAGGACCAACTTCAGGTTCATGTGAGTTGATTCACAAGACCTGCTGATGATCAATTGCTGATTGGCATAGGCTCGGAACGATGGGCTTTCGGAAGAGAAAGCTACGATACTCGTCTCAGAAAGCGAGGATTTCGAGTGCGCTGTTGCTGCTGTCATGTACCATGCTAGAAAACTGGTATCCCAAGCAGCACAGGCCAATGTTGAACACGAGCAACAACTATCTAACCTAGTCGACGACTTTAAGCCACAGTGGTTGGAGCATTGGTTTGATGGACTGGGCTTCTGTATGTCCTCTTTTGCCAAGATTGAAGCCCCTGATCTGACATCAAGCAGGTACATGGAATGCCCTCGGACAGCGACTTACAGATCAAAAGATATTCAATGCCATAGACAAGTTGTCCGAAAACAACATTAATGTCTCGAGTCTCATTATTGATGACAACTGGCAGTCAATTGACTACCGTGGCCCAAGTCAGTTCCAATACGGCTGGAAAGACTTTGAGGCAGAGCCCGAGGGATTCCCCAAGGGGCTAAAAGCAACAGTATCCCATATTCGAGAGAAACACCCTCATATTCAGCACATTGCTGTGTGGCACGCCCTTCTCGGATATTGGGGCGGCATCGCCCCAGACGGCAAGATTGCAAAGACCTACAAGACCATCGAGGTTGTCCGTGATGATGCTGATCGTCGTAACCTACCCCTTGGTGGTAAGATTACGGTTGTCGCTGAAGAGGATGTCTCGAGGTTCTACAATGACTTTTACAAATTTCTTGTGGACTGTGGCATTGATGCCGTCAAGACGGACGCCCAATTTATGCTGGACACATGGGTCGGCGCTTCTCCTCGGCGTGATCTCATCAACAAGTATCTCGACACATGGACCATTGCAACTCTACGGCACTTTAGCGCCAAGGCGATCTCTTGCATGTCGCAGTTTCCACAGGCCTTGTTTCACTCTCAGATGCCAACGAACCGGCCAACTATCCTGGTGCGCAACTCGGACGACTTCTTCCCTGAGATACCAGCCTCTCATCCTTGGCACGTGTGGACAAACGCACATAATAGCATTTTCATGAAGTACCTCAATGTACTTCCTGACTGGGACATGTTCCAGACTGTGCACGAGTATTCTGCCTTCCACGCCGCAGCTCGTTGTGTCAGCGGAGGCCCAATCTATATCACAGATGTTCCAGGTGAACATGACATGGACCTTATCGACCAGATGACTGGCCTCACTCCGCGGGGCAAGACAGTGATATTTAGGCCGAGCGTATTGGGGAAGACAGTATACCCCTATATGGGATATGATGATGACTCTCTGTTGAAGGTGGGAAGTTATCATGGTACGTGAACACATTCCTCGTTATGTCGGCATTGGCTAACCATATCCGACAGGGGCTTCACAAACTGGCAACCCTATCCTGGCGATATTCAACGTCTCTTCACGACCAATGACTGATCTAATTCCGCTATCAATCTTTCCGGGAGCTGATCCCCGCGTTCAGTACGTGGTTCGTGCTCATACTACAGGCAAGGTGTCTAGACCAGTTGCCATCAAGGACCCAGGTTCTCTTCTCACTGGCTCGTTGCCTGTTAGAGGATACGAAATCTTCTCCGCCTTTCCTTTAACGAGTCTGTCTAGCAAGAAACATGGTGACATGTTGATCGCGAACCTTGGGTTGCTGGGTAAGATGGCTGGCGCAGCAGCAATATTTATGAGCAGTGTAGAGGAGCGTGAGAACGGCCGCGTTATGCTGGACACGCGAGTCAAGGCATTCGGCGTTCTCGGTGAGTTTTTTAGACCCGTCTTTTGTGAGTGGTATACTGATGAGTGATGCTAGGTGTTTATGTATCTTCCCTTCCAGCCATGACACTTGATGGCGACTTTTTGATCACGATTCAAGAAAAGGTCATCCCAGTGCACACGGTGGCCATTTCGAAAGCTGACGATCATGTTCTCGAGATCGACATTGGCAAAGCATGGAAGGAAATGGGCCTTGAAAGTCGATGGAGCAATGACGTTGAAGTCAAGGTCTTTTTTAGCATTTGAGGGGTCAAGGTAACATGCGAATGGTGAGAAGCTCATAGCTGCAAGGTAGGTAGCCACTCAAAGCCAGCAATATCGTCTTGACAATTCATGAGTACACCAGCCAAGAACAATGTTAATGGCATTCATCTTATTGATCATGTCTTGAACTGTCTCTGTCGGCGCAGGATTGACAACAAGTGCAGGGTAAGTTGCTTACTCACCAATCACAAATGTTGGTGAGAACTGAAAAACTAGCAGCTCAGGCGCTCACACAAATGCAGGACGGGAAATGGCGTCGACCCATCAGAGAGCGAGAAAAAAAGCTTCTGTGTCTGCTTCTGGTGTGGAAGGTGCGTGCGTACGGCGCTGCTGCCCCGCTAGATCGGCCGTGGCAACTTGAAGTCGGCGGCGGGCAGGTGCAAGGTGGCAGCCCACCTAGTGGTCCAAGAAAAAAATGGCACACTTCGCAAGTACCTACTCTGCCTTTTAATCTGCTGAATCATAGCATAAAAGGCTTATGATTATAAATCTAAGAGTTTATATAGAGTTTAGAATATTATTTATTTATTTCATATTTTTATTTATTTATTCTGATCTAACTTATATCTCTATAACCCGGCAAAGGTCTCATTGTCTACCTGCAGTATGCCATTTATTTCTTGGACTGGGTGCCCACCCACCACCTTACCAAAGCTTTAGGCAAGGGTCCGGTCTCGCGTCCGTCCGTCCCATAAAAAAGTTTTCGAGCGGCCACCACCAATTCTTTTCTCTTTTCTTTCTTTTGGGAAGAAGCGTTCTATCAATTCTGCCAGTCGATATAGAGGCCACAGCTTGCTCATCGACTTGTTTCGCCTTCGACCTCAAATCTTTCAAATCCAGCCCTTCATTTCTTCTTATTCAAAATGTCCGCCTCGGTCCTCGACTACCGCAGCGCCCTCGAGGTGCTCGGCGAGTACAAGCAGAAGGATGGCCTCGACCTGCACGAGCTGATGGACACCACCAAGCACGGTGGCCTCACGTACAACGATTTCCTCCTTCTGCCTGGCTACATTGGCTTTGCTGCCTCTGCGGTGACTCTTGATGCCCCCATCACCAAGCGCATCACCCTCAAGACCCCCTTCGTCTCGTCCCCCATGGACACGGTCACTGAGCACGAGATGGCCATCCACATGGCTCTCCAGGGCGGTCTGGGTGTCATTCACCACAACTGCTCGCCCGAGGCTCAGGCCGACATGGTCCGCAAGGTCAAGCGATACGAGAACGGTTTCATCCTCGACCCCATCGTCATTGCCCGCAACACCACTGTCGGCGAGGCCAAGGCTCTTAAGGAGAAATGGGGCTTTGGTGGTTTCCCCGTCACTGGTAAGTCTTTATAGCCTCTTTCTATCACTCACTGGTTGCATGATTATACACTTTTTCTATATAACTTTCGTTCCACCGTATAGACTATTGTCATGGGGACTTTCTTTACTATGAATCAACCTTACAAATCACATTTACTTTCCCAAGCCCCGCCCGCACAGGAAAGAAATATGAGCTAACATGCAAAATTTGCAGAGGACGGCAAGCTGGGATCCAAGCTCCTGGGTATTGTTACCAACCGAGACATCCAGTTCGAGGACGACCATGACCATGACATCTCCAGCGTCATGGTCACCGACCTCATCACTGCCCCCGATGGTGTCACTCTGGCCGAGGCGAATAAGATTCTTGCCAAGTCCAAGAAGGGCAAGCTCCCCATCGTCGACAAGGACTTCAACCTCGTCTCCATGATCTCTCGTTCCGACTTGACCAAGAACCAGCACTTCCCCTTTGCTTCCAAGCTTCCTGACAGCAAGCAGCTCCTCTGCGCTGCTGCCATTGGCACTCGCCCTGAGGACAAGCTTCGCCTGCAGAAGCTGGTTGATGCTGGTCTTGATATTGTCATCCTGGACAGCTCCCAGGGTAACAGCATGTACCAGATTGAGATGATCAAGTGGATCAAGAACGAGTTCCCCGGCCTCGATGTCATTGGCGGAAACGTCGTGACTCGTGAGCAGGCTGCCTCTCTGATCGCTGCTGGTGTCGACGGTCTCCGAATTGGTATGGGCAGTGGTTCTGCCTGTATCACGCAGGAGGTCATGGCCGTCGGTCGTCCTCAGGCTGCTGCTGTGTACAGCGTCAGCCGCTTTGCTGCTCGGTTCGGCGTCCCCTGCATTGCCGATGGTGGTGTTCAGAACGTTGGCCACATTGTCAAGGGTCTTGCCCTGGGCGCCTCGACTGTCATGATGGGTGGTCTCCTGGCTGGTACCACCGAGTCCCCCGGTACCTCGTTCGTGTCGCGCGAGGGTAAGCTTGTCAAGGCCTACCGAGGTATGGGCAGCATCGATGCCATGCAGGACAAGAAGGCTGGTGGTGGTGGCAAGGACAGCCAGAAGAGCAACGCCGGAACTGCCCGCTACTTCTCTGAGGGCGACAGCGTTCTGGTCGCTCAGGGTGTCTCTGGTGCCGTGGCTCACCGAGGGTAAGTTGCATCCTCTAGTTTGGGAAAGATGTAAAGTGCTGACTATGTATAGCTCGATCAACAAGTTCATCCCTTACCTCGCTGCGGGTCTCAAGCACTCTCTCCAGGACAGCGGCATGGTCAGCCTGGAGGGTATGCACTCTGCGGCTGAGGCTGGTGACCTTCGCTTCGAGCTCCGCACGGCGAGCGCCCAGCTGGAGGGCAACGTCAACATGGAGTCTTATGAGAAGAAGCTCTACGCTTAACGAATGAAATGTAACGTATGTTTGAAGAAGAGATGACTGGACGGATGGGATACGATACGGGACCAAAAAAGGCTATTGGGATGGTATGGGATTGATTGATTGGTTGCTTTTGCATGGAAACGGCTTTCAGAAGGGGTCCCGCTCAGGCAGAGGATGGAACAAGCCTCTATAGGCGTAGATCTGAATAGGCGTTTACCAACCACTAGAGGTGCGGCGCGGGCGTTTTTGCTGTCAAAGATTTTCTGGCAGGGGAGGGAGGTCATGAATGAAATTTTTCTGATACCCATGAATACTGAAGTGCTGTCGGACGGTGACTTGAAGACATGGGGCATGCTGGGCGCTGATACTGGCCTCAACTTGCAAGAAGCCAAGGTATAAAGTGCAACGTTATCATGACAAGAAACGAGGCTCTTGACTTTTGTCATGTTACGACATGTTGATTGGTACTCGTTGCTTGGTTAGTGATGGAGTCTACTAGCAGTAACTAACCAACCTGTCAGCACCAGTCTAGAATGGCTCTTATTATTCGACAATCAATACGATGTACTGATGACAGCAAAACAATTCAATGCCGATTCTTCCGTAACGGATAAAACCTTGACAACTAAAGATACATCCTCATCAAGCCTGGTTGATAAACTCTCATGAAACAAAGATAAATCCTTCACGGCGGCTCCGAAAGCAGTCATGACACAACCGCAGTGACCGTGCTCAACACTCGAGATTAGAGATTTCCAGATCTGGAGAACGCCGGTGCAGGGTTCAATTAAACAGACCATGCCAAGATGTAGGAAGAAAAGTGGGCGATCATTAGGTAGGTAGGGACAAGGGTGGCAGCTGAAAAAGAATAATGAATTTTCGCCAACTTTCTTACCCTGCCTCGGCATGATCCTTCTCCGATTGAACCCCTATCATGTGCATGCATGCAATGAATTATCAAAATGTAGGTGATGAATTATATTCAAGGAAATGATTTAGCAGTAGCTCGACGATAAAGAAAAAATGCATGACAATGTCCAGTCATTTGGGTATAATCCGTAGGCGCGTACCCCTGCACGCTCCATTCCATTACCGTAGTTCTCGCCCTTTGTTTTTCCACTCCCCTCCTCTCTTCAATCTTTTGGTGTCATGATAGTATTTTGCTCGATACTCTTAGTACTGGGGCTGAGGCTGGTGAGGGTTGTAGGTCTGCTGAGGAGGAGGGAAGGATCCCTGAGGCTGAGGAGACTGGTAACCCTGAGGAGGGGACTGATAACCAGGCTGAGGAGGAGCCTGGTATTGCTGCTGCTGCTGCTGGGCCGGGGGAGAGGTAGGCATGTGCATGCCCTCCTTCTGAGCCTGGTAGCCCTGGGTGATGGGACCCTGCGAGAGGCGAGCCTTGACTTCGTTGTCCTGCTGAATGAGGGCACAGCAGAGACACCAGTAGCTGACGCAGCAATCGCCCATGCCACTGCCCTGAATGCCGAATCGCTCACGGATCTCACCACGCTTCATCATGGAGTAGCTGCGCAATCATCGTCAGTAACCGACATGACAAACAATGTAGATAAAGCTTACATCCAACCACAGCCAGTGACACAGTTGATGGCGCAAAAGATGAGGGCATCGCTGTTGCAGGTATCGGCAGTCTGCATGGTAGGATCCCTCATGCGATCGGCAGTTTTACCCAAGACTGTAGACGAGTTTGTGAGCTTCCAATTGATACCGAGACAAGGGCGCGAGAGCACTTACGAATGCATGGGCAAAAGGTACCGAGCAGGCAAGAGTCGCAGGGCGAGCAGTTGCACAGGTTGCTCTGCCATTCCTGGTTCTGGACATTGGGTCCCTGAGAGTACTGCTGAGCCATTGTGATTGATTGATTAGATATCAATTGATTGAGTCGGAGTATGAACGAAGGTCAAAGGTCGGGTTGGAGAGTGGTGATTGTGAAAAGCGACGATGCGATCAGACAAGAGAGAGGGAAAGTGAGTGGCTGATAACACAACTTGTGGGAACCCCAAAGCTTTAAAAAGAAGTGTCGGCAACGGCACTTGGGGGCTGCTTTTTGTTTCGGCCTGAACTGACGTATGACCATCAAGCTTTCCAAAGCTTCGCTTCTCAGCTGTCCCTCTGGTCCTGGGGTGCCCAAAGCAAAGACAACCCTTCATTTCCAATGACAACCACCAGGGTCACCAGCGGAGTCAAAACTCGAGCCGGGCTGACGCCTCTGACCCTAGAAGGATCAATGGAGATCACCCCCCTCCACCGCATGAGACTACTGTACCGCGATACCACCAGGCATGCGGGCTGTGCTGTGCAAACATGCACAAGCCTGGGCACAAGCAAGGGGCCCCCGAAAGGTCGGACTTGAAGGGCGAGGGGAAGCTCTTCCTCGCAAAGGCATCCATTCAGCCACTAGCCGTGCTAGCCTCCTAGGGCTGACCGGGTTTGCGAGATGTGAGTGGAGCGTCGCGTCGTCGTCGAGTGCCTGGTCAGAAAGCCTGGGCGTGCCAGTCAGCCTTGAGCTTGAAGTCGAGGAGAAGAGAGGAATCGTCGTAGAGGAACACACTCCACTGGCCCAAGATTAACACGACCAAAGCCGGTTAGGTCCTCGAGCCCGTTGAGGTATAGCATCTCGCACCGTCCAAACCAGCCAACGTCTCGAAACAGCCTTTGCTCCTCCGGCCGGTCGGCGCCGTGGGACGTGTCAAGGGAAAGCCCTTTCAGCTCGGGCGTCGACAAGCTTCGAGCTAGCTACGTTGGAGCACCACAGCGGAGATCAATCCTGAGCATCTTATTCTTAGAAGGGCTGTGCTGTGCTGGTCTGCACTGGGATGCCCATGATACGTAGCGTATCATCCGAGTGCAAGAGCAAGGGCTAGGCCTGGTCGAAACGCCTTGTGGTGGGTTTGACGGGCGTTTTCTCTCTCTGTCCGTCGGTCTCTTTTTTGCTTTGTGTTGAAATGCTGACATTCATTTGATGGTCCATCCATTCATTCATGCTCGAATATTGATGCTAAGAAAAGCAGAACGGTTTGAAGGATGGGTGGACAGACGGGTACTGTGTGCGCCGCGCCCGCATTGCGAAACAAGGTGTGACGGATCAAAAGGCTGCTCGCAGACATATCTTGGCGTACAGAGTTCTTTCAATGTCCGCAATAGGGAAAATCCCCATCACTGCTTTCTCAGCGACGGGTCCGGGACTTGATAAGACCTCCGCTCGCCGTCGGCCGGCTTAGGATCACATAGTCCGGCATCACCACCTTGCCTCCCCGTAGCTTCCGCTCCCTCGGCGAGTAGTCGTCCTTGTCGAACCCCAGCTTCTCGTAAAACTTGAGCCCTGAGGTGTTGCTCACGAAGCATGTGAGCATCACCTTTTCGATTGAAGAGACGTTTTCGGCAACGTTCATTAGGTACCCCATAAGCCTTTTGCCCAGACCAGTCCTGCCCCGGTTTCTGATTAGCTCAACGTCTTATACATGCACTTTGTGGCCTCTATCCACCAGACCAGACCAAGACCAGTTGCTCAGCCCTTTTCCGTGTGTGAACGTGAATGAGCTCCGTCGGAGGTCGGCATCCATCATGCAGAATGTCACTTGTTGGTGTTGGTTGTCTTACTCACCCCTGCAGCTCCGGCTTCAAGTGGATTTCATAACAGTACACCACTGGCTCGTGGTTTTCAAAGGTAGGCATCAATGATGTGAAGCCGTTGATCTTGCCGTCACCGTCCTTGACCAGAATGTACCGAAGATCTGGTGATCGCATCTCCTTTCTCTTCATCGCTGGGTGCCATCCTAGCGACGAGTTTCGATAGTCTTCACCGCTCGTCTCGTCAACCAGATCGAAGCACGCCTCGAGCTCATCGTCTTGCATCGCGGTAGGACGCGAGAGACTCAAGGTGTATATCGTGTTGTTCTCGGGATGCGTCCATTGAGGCCAGCCATCGCTGCTGAAGACGCGACGCGCAATTGTTAAGCAAAGTCACATCAATACCAACAAACTCGACTTTGAGACTCACCTTGGCTTGACATATTCCTCAACAAAGTCATCGTCGGACTTTTTATTGGCAATCTCGATGGGATTCGGCTGTCGACGTCTTCCAACAAGTCTCTTGATGGGCCTCTTGGATGAGGCAGACGCCTCCTCCGTTTCTACCATGATACCACCTCTGCTCTTCAAGTTAGAAAAGACCAAAAAGGAGAGGAAGGGATGAAAAGAACAATATTATCTCGGATGACTTTCACGACATGGTCTACTAACAATCCAGAGCATGGCAGGAACAAGGTTGTACAAGGGAAATAGCAGTCTGATTAGATAACCGAGGTTCGGCCGGCAAGACGCAAAGGCAACTTTTGAAGGCTTTCATCCATCGCCGTCTACTCCGATGATTTTACTCACGGGCATGAGAAATTATATCCCCCGTCAGATGAGGTAGTCTCTGAGTGGAATGGTCTTTAGCATTCGCCTGCTGAATCTCAGCCGTGGCTATGCCACCCGGCCCGGCGGTTCTCGTCTTAAGCCTACTCTGAGTCTTGACCAGGTATGAGACACCTCAACTCGTGGCAAACTTACAATACTGATGGGAATTGGGGTATAGTTTATCCAGAGAGCACGAGTCTTGTCCCTGTACCGCACAATTCTACGAGGGACAAAGCGAATTGCAGACCCTGCTACGAGAGCCGAGTCCCGCAAGTACGCTCGTGACGAGTTTGACAGACACCGCGGTGTATCAGACGCAGTAAGTCTCTCTCCAAGCGTTCTATACCATTACAGGAGCTAACTCTGCCTTCAAAAAGTCTCAAATCAAATATCTGCTGTCAAGAGGAAAGACGGAATGGGAAGGTATGGAGAGGTATATCGATGGTATGTAGCGCAGTAGTTGTACATGACGGGCCCTCCCGTGCTTGTCCGCTCCCGTCTCAACCTCCAAAGCTCCGTTGACGCCTCATCAATTCATGTTCCAAAAAAAAAGAAGCTTTCGTCGTTGCTCTTTTCTACCTCGCATGCATCTGGCCGTCCGTCGTCTAGACAGTTTGATCCGTAATCGGGTGATGATTTTCCTCCTCGTAGTATCGTACAGTTGCCTCATCCACAAAAGTGACTCCCGTCGTTTCGCTCTTTAACTTTGTCGCTGCTTGTGTCGAGGGTTCGCCTTGCAGATGATGTACAAGTATCCGTTGTGTCGCTTGCCGGCTTTCCGTCGGACAACCTATTGCGAGCTCGTTAGCATCGTCCAGCAAGCCCAATTGCCTCTCCCAAGCACGTCAATTGAACCGGCGCCGGTGTAGCCTCACCTTGCAGTGCTCGCATCGCTTCTTGACCGAGCTGTGAACCTTCATGCCTCGAGTCTGCTGCATCAAGCCGCCGCCGAGGGCCCGCGAGACAGGCATGGCAGAGGGGCTAGCAAAGAGCGAGGGCAAGGCGCCCATTGACCAGGTGGCCCGAGTCGCAAAAGCGCCCAGGGCATTGCTGGCGCTCAGAGACCTCGCGGAGAGCGAGAGGGTGCGGAAAAGTGAAGCCATCGTGGTTGGCGGGCGATTGGACGACTCTGAGGACTCATTCGGGTCAAGACGAGGTTTGCTTGACGAGCCAACTCGGGAGCAGCCGGATCACGTGCTGTTTGCCAGAAAGAGGTACGTACCGCAGCAACACAACGTCCACCCACCATGGACTTGATAACATCTTGAACTTCGAAGTCAACGTTTTCTACGAATGATTGGCTTTTCAAATGAGAGATTGCTACTTTGATCGTGATGATATCTTACTCAATTGTTAGCCCTTGTATCCTCATATACCTTTGCCAAGATTCTTCAAGGGCCTCTTGGCAACAGCTTCAGGTCACATCAATCACACAACACTTCACCGGACCTGCAGTCTATCTCAAACATTCTCATACAACTCGTGCTATCTATCCTGTGGATGACCTGCAATCTATAGCACGAAGAAAATCAACTGTGTTCCCCCTGGTGGTTCCGTGATCCAGACCAAATACCGTTAACGCCGTCCTGTGATGAACCACAGCAAAGAAACAAACCGCCTGCGTATGTATCCATCCCTTCATCCATCCACTTATCCGCCAATTCGTCCGCCCATGTATCCGCCAATTTATGCATATCCGTTCCAGTTCAGCTCTCCTTTACCAAAAGCCGCCAGGGTTTCCTGGGGTTGAGTAGCGGTACGCCTTGAGCTCCGCAAAGGTCTTGTGCTGGAGATCATCAAAGAAGACAGCGGCATCGTCGAAGCTGTGGCTGACGAGACACATGTCGTGTTGAGTTCGGGCCCTTCCCTGCCCTTCCAAGTCTGGGGTTCTGTTTTCGTAAGCTTGGGATCTTAACGTGTCGGGTGGGTAGCAGTCCTTCAGAAGGACATGGGCCGTGTTACGGGCGTCAATGATACGGGCACGGTACTGTGCATCCTTGAGAAGTTCTTGGTCGAACATGTCGCGTAGGTCCGGGAGCCGTTGCAGAGAATCGTCGTGAATCTTGTTGTCACGAAGGAGAGGCTCGATGTAGTGATGATTGATCACGTTGCCGTTCGCGTCAAACTGAGCAGCCGGTGGAAGAGGTCGTTCTGTTCCGGTGGACTTGAGTGTGATGAGACCCTTGCCATGTTCGTACAGCGGAGCATCTTGATTGAAATCAAAGCGTTCCCACTTGGGGAAGAACGGCTTCATGATTTCTGTGCCGTCACGCTTGCCCTGATCACGTTCTTCGTCCAACCACATACGAAGGTTGCAAGCAGCACACAGGTGAGTATGCTCGCGAGCGGTGCGTGTCTCCTGGCCAAAGAACTCTATAAGAGCCTCGTGTCCACATGACGAACAGAACATGGTGTTCTTTCCCATCTCATTGAGGTAATACTCGTGCCAATCTTTATCAAGGGACTCGAGCCCCATCCTGACCGGTTTGACAATGTCGTAGAGGGCCTGTTTGATAGCGTTGTCGTCCTTCGAACCAGCCGCCATCAAATCCAAGTACCGGTACAAACCGTCAAGATAGCCGAAGATTTGAAGAGGGACAAAGGGTAGCTTCGAGAGATAAGTCATAAATGCCCCATTTCGGTCCATGAGGAGCTGAAGGTTCATTTCCTTGGACTTCAGAACGACCTGCAGAAGGATTCCAAAAACTCCGCGCTGTTGAGCGTCGAGAAGGAGCTTCTGTGACGACAGTCCATACGCGTTGGCATCAGCACCAGGTTTGGCTTCGCTGAGCAGTGAGCCAGTGTTGTATCGGGGGTAGAAGTCGAAAGCCTCAATCCGTGGCTGGTTACTGGAACGGCTGCTGTTAATCTCATGGATCAAATCCAAGAGACATACAGCATCACCAAAGTGAATATCGGGACAATCGTAGATACCCAACATCTTCAGGTTGGGGCAAGCTCGGGCGACAACGGCCACCAAACGACGGTCCAACATGGGTGTGCCGTGGAAGTGCAAAACACGAATGGTCTGGCGCCTGTTGTAGATTCCAATGACTGTTTGTCAAATAGATTAGCAAATGACCAATGATATAAGCTGAGCAGCACGTAAACTTACGAGTAGTGAATGTTGTGGACAGGCCAACCTGTCTGGACATGACATAGTCCTGCGTGGGAGATGGTTCGGTCAATGCAGCGACCCGTCCTGCGAGGTCTTGAACGTGCGGGAGCGACCTGACCATCTTGACCAGCTTGCGGCCATGAACTCTCTCGTGCCACATATGGCCTGCCCTGGCCTGTACGGTGCGAATGTATTCATCGCGCTCGTCTTCGTTCATCTCGCGGAGATTTGCCTTTTTGAGCGACTCCAGCTCCTGATCCAGCAGTCGATCCTGCGTCAGAATCATATCTGCTGTTAGTGGTTCCATTGTCCAAAATGGCGCCGACGGTCCGCATTCACGATGAATAGTACAGATGAGGTTGACGGCATTGCGCGTGGCTCTGTGCTCTTGGTCCTGGTCAAAATCAGGGTTGTGCATGAACTCTTCATATGACACCTTGGGTGTCACGGCAATGAACACACGCCCAGAGGGAAGTCCCCGAAAGGCGCGGATCGAAACGTCAAAGACAGCCTGTCAGAAGGAGAGTCAGTAGCTGGTATGAGTGAGGGTGTCTGTTGGAAGCACTTACCATGCCTTGTGACAGGGCCCCCCATCCTTCGGGGTAGGCTTTGGCGAAGTTAACCAAGTTGGTAATACCGGCAGCAGCGAGATCCTCAGCCACGATCTGCCCGAAGATATGCAGACCAGCAAAAACTCCTCGAAGAGGGTACTGAATCTGATGCTCTTGAAGGATGCTCACATCCACAGGCTGATAATGTCAGTGTTTGTGGTCTAGCAGGTCCGATGGGCTTCAACCATACCTTGACGAGCGCCTTGGCGTCGACATATTTGCCAAAAGAAGGGAGTTGTCCGTTGCGATACTGGTTGCTTTCATTTCTGGTCGCGGACCACAGGTCGATTTCGGTTTGGATTGAATTGTTCGAAACATTTTCATGGAAGCCCCTCCGCCGAAAGCGCCTCCTAGAAGCAACCGCATTATACGGCAGAATGGCTAGATGAAAGTTAGCAATTCGTCCCCCCTGGCTCATGGCAAACTTACCTGACCCGGTCCCCTTGGACGACGAACCGCCAGAGTAGTTTCCGCGTCGACTACTCATTTTGCGTTTCCCATTCGAATCTGAGCAAGTTGATTGTGATCTAAGAGCTTCTGTCATGAGGTTAGGACCTCCCTTTCTCTTCCTCCTTGCCATGTTGAGCGAGATGAAACAGGATCGGAAAACCGTGAGTGCGCCTCTGTAGGTAGTGAAGAGTGAAGGGAGCGTTGAGCAGGATGTGAATGAAGTCGAGTGAAGACAAGATTGAGAGAGGGGAGAAAAGAGTGAATGTGCGATGATTATGTATACATAAAATGAAATGGATGATGAATGAGAAAACGGCAGGTATTAAAGTCAAGTAAACGAACGGCAACAGATACAAACGCCCGAAAAAGTGATGAAATGGGAAATGGGAAATGGGAATGGTTAAATGACGGGAATTGAACGTCGGCAAACGAAACAAGAAAGGGCCAATGAGGGGAAGCCAGAGGCAGATACCTCGCAAGGCCCCGATAAGGAAGGAAAGACTCTCGATGAAAGAAGAAGAGGGAAAGGAAAGTAGGTGCTTACCGGATGGAAACTTGAAAATGGCCTATGGCACCGCGTTTTGCCTTTGTCCAATGAGAAGAGTCAGTCGTAACTCCGCAACCCAATGAGTAGCGATCCAATCTATGAGACAAGATGGTGAGAATTGCGAAAGTCTGCGACAAAAATGAGCTCGAGAGAATGTTTCTTTTTAGGAAGAGTAGAAAGCGATCCAATACGCTTCAAAAGAGAGGAGAAGGTGCGCGAGAATCCAAACGACGCTGCTATAATTGAATCGTTAGCTATCGGCGTCGAAACCAGGGCAGAGATCGATCCTTGGTGTCAAGGACTTCGAAGACGAGGTAGTAGAGGAAATGAAATGTCTGAAGGGAGGAGAGGGCGACTGATGTGACGACGGCTCGGTCAAGGTGCCTCTGCGCAAAGGCAGGATGACAGAGATGGAGAAGAGCGAGCCGCGAGGACAGTCCAGTCTCTAGAGCGTGACTCACTGATGTGTAGAGAGGATGAATCGATGCAAAAAGGTCGGGATGGAAGAAGCAACAACCACGCGAGCCGGTCGCGTTGGAGGGCCAAGGTGACTTTGGCAAAGGGAGATGATGTCAAAGGAAGAGAAGAGCAGAGAAGGGTGGGACGGGTGGAGGAGAGGATGTGAAGAGGGTGATGAGGAAGAGAAGAAGGTGATGGAGAGAGGGATAGATGATGGTAGATAGAGAGACAGATAGATAGAGAGGAAGAGAGAAGCGGGAAGAAAGGAAGAGCCTCAGGCAGAGAAGGAAATCAGAAAGATGGTCGAGGCCCGCGATGAGGACCTCCGACCGTCGCTCCAACGCATCGACGACGATGAAATAGAAAAGATACAACTTACCAAAGCAGCTCCAAGGAAGCGATATGCGCAAAGATGCAAAGTCTCGATATCAAAAGCGTAACGTCGTATCCCAAAGACGCTGGTATGTGGTGATGTCGAGCAAAGAAAAGTTGAGGGGATGAGGAAGAAGAGAAGAAATAGTCGGGGTTTCCTGGGAGACGTTTATTTATCCTTGCGGGACCGACTGTGAATCACAGTCTCGATCTTTAGGGTCAAGGCTCGCAGCCTCGCTGGGAAACGCTCTGCCTTGCGGTGCGGCCAGCGGAGGGTAGCCACCCAACGCCCACTCAGAGACCCACAGCCACCGGTGTGTCCTCCGGCCTCCCACCGAGAGGTGCCCCGGAGTTTGATATTCAGTGCCCCGTCTTCTGGTCTAGCAGTGGCCTGGCAAAGAGTAGAGGGGACTATATCCTGTGCAGGCTGGAGGAGGGCTCAAGGAAAGGGGTAAAGGCACACTTGGTCAAATGTCCCGTAGATGCTTAGCAGGTCATCCCATAGACCACCATATCCTTTTCTTGCTCGTGGTCAAAGGCGTAGTCGTGTCTCTCGTAGGTATGGTGTCTTGATGGCCTAGCGGTCCAGCACTGGAGAACACCCGGCGCATCCCACCGTGGCGGACCCCTATCTAAATATGATCCCCGTACTCCCCATGTTATCACCATGTCCAGAACGCCGCCAAAGAATCAAAATCATCATCTATCTTGCTTAGAGAACATCGCGAACAATGGGGATCAAGTCCTTGTCCCACAGGCCCCTGTGTTGACGTCGTGGCGCTCGAGCAGCACAAAGGACGACAGCTGTTCATCCCAGAACAACACGACAGACCCCCCAAAACATCTAAATCACGTACCACAAGCTTTCGCAAGGCAAGACTTTGGGGGTCTACGTCTTGAAAGGCGTCAAGGGCCTGTCGTGGCTGGCCCCTTGGCGGTCGGCGTCGCAGAAGGCATCCCAAACCTCCCTCCTTTCGTCCTACCTGCGACCGTGCGATCTGTGAGGCCTCGCTCCATCCCATAAGTACCCTCCATAAGCAGACTGACTATATCTGGAATCCAAAATGATCTATTCCGCCCCCTTACTCGTCGAATGAATGTTAACGGTGGACTGATCCAGGCGACGAAGGCATCGACGAAGAGCCCAGCGACGTCGGCAGGGTCATTACCTCGATGATAGCTTGTGTCTATAGCATCATAGTCATCACGCGCTACGAGGCACGTCGCCAGCAAGATCTCACCCCCTATCGCAAGATCATACCTTGCAGAGCTGTCCGACCGTTCACATCATCATCCACCAGTTGAAGCGACACATCGAGCTTGAAGACCTCAACTCCCCCAATACTCCCTCTAGATCCAGCAGTAGGTACTGTATTGACCATTCATGAGCCTAGAAACTCACCAGAACAGACCAGTGATGCTGAGAAACCAGGGGCAAAGAGCTTCGAAGCCAAATCCAGGCCCCGGACCACCTTGACGGCCATCGCGAAGAACAGACAAGTATCCAAGCGTCTCCAAGACATGCTATTCACATCCTTATATGAGATTCCATGCCAAAGACACTCTCGAGACAGCTTCTTTGTTCCGTACCACAGACTCTTCGAGGTGTAGCTCTCCCAGAGAGAGAGTCGACACAGCCCTCGAGAGTCCTCCAGATGTCGGAGACCTTCTCAACAAGGGAGAATGATGTGAAGAAGTACCCCAACTAAGCAGTAGACCCGGTTGGCACGGCTCAGGGTCATCTAATGACACCGACTGTGACACGTTGGCTCAAGCAGATCGTGGGTAGGAGGTGGTTCTTTCACAGACTACAGATAAACACTAGCTACGAACAAGGGGATCTCTGGGAAAGCCGTACGTACAGGGAGTCATTTCATTGTTGTTGGCACAGACACTTCCTTTCCTCACAAAGACGGAGTGTGTCAGGCACACGAGCCAAGAGCACACCTATCAACACGATGTTGGCCTTACCCGAGGAACACCACGAAGCATCACATCACCCAGACTCGTGAGACTGTGTGCCAGCTTGTCAGGTCGACCAAGATCGAGACTGATGTAGGCAATGCCTCGCCAGAAGAAAATCAACTTCACATTATCTCTGGTTCATTGTAATCAAAGACTCAAAGGCTTACGGTAGGAAGACAGGTATACTTGAATACATACTAACAAATATCGCCCATCAGAAACGACACTACGAGCCGATCCGAGACCGCATTCCCAAGACAAATCAAAACAATAAGAGCAAGCCATGATGCAGGTTAAAACTCCTGCAAGCAATATCCCCAGCTTCATCACATCCTCGACTGCACCGTCCCTTGCATTCGTCTCACCGCCATCTCGCCCTTTCACCACCCTCAAGCAAAGAAACTTACACCCCACGGGACCGTCCGGGGCGAAAGAGCAGCTGGTCAAAGATCCCAGTCCTCGAACCATGATATCGAAGAAGATCTATTCCTGAAACGAAGATCGACTTGCGGAAATGGACAGAAAGAGAAAAAAGGACTCGTTTGTGAAAATCCCGCTCGACGTCGTATCCCAGCCCGCATGTACTGTACTGTACCAAATCAGGTTGACTGCTCGAGCTCACAATATCTACGACCTATCACGTACAACCCCTCTACGGTTGATAAGCGCGGTTGACGACGAGTGGTCCAAGAGACATGGCGGCGTCGTGGATAGACTAAGCCCGGCTTACATCAGGCTCTCTCTCCAGTCGGCGAATCTGAAACCAGGGTCCTGCACACCATCAAGATTTCAAATTTGAAAGAGAAATCTGACCTTGGAAGAAACAAAGGTGACAAGCCGGGCGCGGGAGTCTTGTCGGAGAACCAAGCCACATGGACGAGCACATGCACATGGCTAGGTCTGCAAGGGAGCGGGGCCTGCATGAACGTTTGCTCGACGAGGACAAGGCCCGAGTCCGTCATGACAGACCTTTGCCCGAGGTGAGCCGCGATCGACGGGAAGGGTGGCAGCCAGCAAGATGGGCTCAGAGATGGTGGGATGCCTAGCCGTCCCCAGAGCAAGCAACGCACGAGCTGAGATGGAGGTGAGGGGAACGGCCGGATGATACAGCATGGCACGCATAGGCACGAGATCATGAAGAGCCTTGTTAGCCCCAGCTGTCGTCGGCCAAGCTGTGACATTGATTGGCCGAGTGTGTGGGATGCATCCAAGGCAGAACGGGAGGACTCTTGCTCATTCCTTGATAGGATGACTTGACTTGATATAGCAAAGTACAGTACAATCCAGTACCTTTGAGTAATGGGAGTGGCACCGCTGCAGAATCAATTGACTATCAGGGTGTCACGACGGGGCGGCAAAGAGCAGATAGCCCAGCAGGCAATATCATCAGGTGCACAAACTGCCTCACACCACAACGGCCAAACCGGAGTTGTGAGAAAACAAGACAAGAAAGGGCCGTCGGAGCAACAGCAATACGATACGACTTTCTACTGCTGTCATTCCCGCCTCTCCCGGACACGGACGGTCACATTCACAAACCACAACCACAAGAAAGACAAGCCGGTGTTCGGGATCGCGCCAATGCTGTGATGTGGAATGATGAGGGCAAGGAGACAACCTTGACTCCGACGGCAAATCAGGTGATTGGAAACGGTGGGCGGCGAGCGAGAGTTACCGTTGCGACTGGAAAAGCTTGTCAACAGCACATGACCCCCCAGTCCGTGGCTGGAACGGTTCCGTCGGTTGGAGACTGACTGATCGGCCTCGGAGAGTTGATACAGTACGGCCCACCCCCCGTCTTGTCTCTTCATCAATGCCCGCGTCTCGGAAGCTGAGCAAGACATGGGATCACGGGTCGAATCACGACGGCCCAGAGCCAGATTGCGAGAGTAAACATCCATACCCGCATAAGCATGATAGCCAAGTAAGACGACGATCGGACAAGCGGGTTGGTACTGTAATGTACTTCTGGGAAAAGCTGCACGGTCGCATGAAGTGTTAATAAGATCAACTTGTGGAGCCAACCAAGTTTCTTCTTGATAGAGTCAGAGGGCTGATGGCTCAAGCAGTTCTCGGAGGATGCACACGTGTTGCTGTTGCTGGGAGCAATTCTCTTCAGACGAGATTGTCATCCGAAATTCACATCCATGCCTGAACGCAGGGCGGCCTGACGAGGACAACGATGACGGTGCCTCGGCGTCTATATGGTGGTTGGGATAATGCCATATCCCTCCAGCATCATCGAGATGCAGTACGGCTTCAGTGCATCGCATTGAAACTGTTCGCTAGGCTCGCCGCAAACAAACAAGGCCCAGCCGCGCGAGTGGCTGATGAGTGGCCAACGGGGTGAAACGAACAAACCCACAGAGCCCCGAGAGGCAAAAGGGAGTTTGTGTGTTTGGTTGGATCGTGAAATGAGAAGCGCAGGGCCCAATTTCCAGACGAGACGGGGTTAGGTGCCATCGGTCGACGACGGATCAGCTCTTCTCCAGGGATACCAGCCGTACAATCTCAGCAAGCGAGTGAGAGTGTCGGTGTGCCTCGGGCAAAGTACCGAAATCAATGCCTTTTGCTAAGGTTTCCAAGGGTTGCGATACAACACTGCTCAGAGGAGAAAACCGTTCTTGTTCAAGCAAGAGAAGCGCCCGGCTTCGAGACGTTTCCCCCCCTCAACAACGGCATGGCTTCCAAGAGGCTACCGACAAGGATCTAGGCTGGGTCCCACAAGCCGGAGTCAAGCCAAGGCGTGGTGGTTGAGCTGACGGGCATGTGGATCTCGATTGATTGCCCACGGGCGGCGGACCGTGTGTGGTGATCGCCGCCGTGCACTGTTCCGTTCCGTGCTCTTGTGCTTTTTTTATTAGTGCCCATCAAGATATCAGGCGCTGGTCCTTCGTGAAAGGAGGTGGCGGTAGGTCAGAAACCAAGGCAACGAGTCCATGCGAGGGCAGAAGGCCAAGCAGGCAAACCAAGGCGCCTCGGAGGCGAGATGGAAGGAAAAGAAGGGTCCAGAAAGGCAACCGCAGGCGATAGCTTCCCCAGAATGACTTCTGTATCCGATCCGATGCATGGCATTCCGGCGGTTAACATCCCGCAGAGCCACCCACGAAATAATATGCCGTGGCAGAATCCAGAGCATTGGTCGCACAAAGGCCGTGCCGTCTCCCGTTGCAGGTCATCAACTCACTTCATTTTGTTATGTCTCGGCGTTGATCCGCCGACGGGAGATGCTGCGTGTCTAGGGTGTCTCACCAGAAGGCCCCGATATTGGTAGCCCTGTGTGTTCGAGTCAAGGGAATGAGGAGTCAACATGAAGATCGAGTCCTGTCCACTGCTAGCAGCGGCTTCAGAGTTGCAGCAAAAAGGGTCCCGAACTACTGCCAGGTGGATTGGTGTTCGCGGCTTTGGCTGGCCTCCTATGCCCAACTTGTACAAGCTATGCTCGACTTGGCCAAGACGGCGGCCGGGCCTTGAGTCACCTGGACCCCAAGTTGAGGGAGAGGCGCGATCGTGTGAGCCACGGCTGGGGTTGCCTATAGCCTGGATCGAACTCGACTGTTTGAGCCCTCTCGAGTGGCTGATGCAGGTGCTGGAACAGAGACAGATGCTGGCTGTGGCATCGCGGGATTGTGGCATTGTGATGTGATTTGTGAATGGGTGGATAACCCGGATGCAAGCTTTGACTTTGGATTGGGGCAAGAGGCACTTTGCGTGTGCTACCACCCTTGCACTGTGCTGCGCTGTGCTGTACCCCGTAGGACAATAAGTGGGAGGTGATGGAAGATAGATGCAGGTTTCGAGGTCGATACAATGCATACAAGGCTGCATGTGGGTTGTTTTGCGAGCGCGTGGCCGTTCTCCATCGTGATGCTCGTGTGCTCCTGCCTCGGGCTGCAGCTTCCTGCATTTGCATGAGCTCGACCAGCGAATGAAGTTTGTGATACAGGGTATGTAGGTACTCGACCTCGAAGCAAGGTACTATCTTGGGCATCCAAGAGCCAACACCAGAGAAAGATCATCCATAAAATTCAAGGAAGTACCTCTGATGCAGTGCAGGGTACCTCCCGTCCTGTCGAAGGGAGCAGCGCTCCGTATTGATTGATTCGCCCGAGCTGCTCGAGTTAGGGCGCAATGCGGGCCCCCGTTTATTACGACGTCGTCGCTAGCGCCGCCATAAGGCCATGTTTGGGCCCGGAGGACCAACTCTTGCTTGGACGTCGTTCCATGGCCACAGAATTCTAGAGAATTTCGTGGGCCAGAGAGAGATGAGCTGGGACCTGGCAGCACAGCACAAGCACACGCACAAACAGACAACAAATCACACAGCATATCCGACAGTAGTTTGGTTCAGGTGCGGGATCCCGCGGCCCAGACATGATGGAGGGTTGAAGCTGAAGGCTACTGGACGCAAGAGGCTGCCAGAGGATGACGCTTCTGGAGACGGCGAAGCGTGACCTGATATGACATGACCTGACCTGACACTTGCGTGCATCGCCGTGTCTTCCCAGAGGCCGAGATGGGGACAGGGGACCAACAACCAGAGGCACAAGAGCCAGATGCGTCAGCGTCAGAAAAAGAGGGTGAAACGCCTTTGTCGTTGTGCAGCAAATTTTCAAGCCACCGAGCATCACAGGATCCGGTGCAGCAGCTCAGGCGTCTAGGCGAGACACGAGAGCCTCATGGCGACCGTGGGCGGCGCCGGGGGCTTGCCTGGCCTGGATGGATGGCGCAACGAAGAGAGACAGCCAAGATGCCAAGGCGGCCAAGGAACCATGCCAAGCAGGCAAGACGCCAGCCAACGTCGTAGAAAGAGTGCTGGTGACTGTCCAGACAGAAGTGTCGGTCGAAACGTGTTCCCCTGGAACAATATTTGATTTCGGTTTTCATTCTAATGGCGATCCACCAGAACCACAGCGAGGTGGTTGTGGTTGTTGAGGGCGGTCCTGGCACGGATCGCTCGTCGGCACTGGGCTCAAGCGAGGATCCAGGGACAGGGACCAGGTGGATTGTTCACTGAAAGTCAGTGGCTCCCCATGGCCCACGATTGCATGCTGAGTGCAAGGGTTTCGACAAGGTTCGGACACAGGGAGATGGGAGATATTGGAGGTAGATCCACCGGTGATTGGGCTTCATCAGAGACCTGGGAGCTGGGCAGATTGTTATTAGGTACGTACGATGTCTGATTCATCTCGCGGAGAGACACGGTCAGTCAAGAATGAGAGACAGCCGACTAGACGACGAGACACGGAGCCAGAAAAGCAAGACTTGTGGGCTGGAGACGAGAGGGAGACTGGGAGAGCACATGGTTCTGATACATTTGTTGCCGCCGTTTTGGTGGATTGTGCCAGCAAGGAGGTCAAGTGCCAGACAAGATTGCTCGGCAATGTGGGGATGTAGGTACCGCAGCCCATTGGGGCCGAGAGGTGGGTTGAAGATCGATATTGAAATGTCGTCTCAAGACCCTGTTCCCGACAACAAGGGAATTTCATTCAAACCAGTGGGCGAGCAGCGAGATTTCCCTTTCTTATTCGAGGGACCCGCCCCGGTTGAGTCAGAGCGAGAGATGGGGTGAGCATGTCGGTCAGTAGGGTCAAAGATGGAGATTGATCAATGCTGATTGTCGGGACACGGCCGAGTTCCAGGGAATAACATCGGCGACGACACTGAAGCCGGCCGGGCTTCAGGGAGGGCTCCAGCCCGGGTCTGATCGTCCAGGTGGTAGCACTCCGTACGTAGTAGCGTCAATAGCGTTGAGGCCTGCACGTAGTAGTTATCAGCCCAGCCTGCCAGCGGGCGTGGTTCCGCGCCGTGCAGCGAGATGCTGTAGGTACGGAGTATGATGGATATTGACGGTGAGAAAAGGCGGGCAGGGCAAAGTAAAGCTTCTTGTTCCTTGGTGAAGGGAAGGGAAGGGGCCGGCAGGCTGTCCGGGAGCATCCGTCGATACGAAAGGAAAGGGGCCTTGCTTGAAGTTGACATTGACATGCAACTTTCTGGGGGTCCAGGCCGAAGCACGTTCCAAAGCTTCCATGATCCCGAGGTGAATTCCAAAAAGAATCTTTCCAACATGGATGCGAGATGATGGTGAGTGACGAAAAAAGGACGGTGAATATCGGGGTACCTTCCGTCCAGGCTTGCCTTCCGCATCTTCACAGTAACCATCTCTACGACCTTGTCTGTGAATGGGAAGGTACGTGTCGAGTTGAGTCGATACGATACGTGAGCCCCGCCATGAAGCACAGGCAAGTGCAGGCAAGTGCAGTTGGGTTGCTACTGCAATTTTGTCCGCGGCTAGCGCTGGAGCCCTTTGCAAGGTGTGCTCCACCGAAGGCCGGCAGGTCGACGGGGCACCGGGGCCATGGGGCGTCTGCAATTTCAGGCCCACTCGTTTAATGCAGCACGGGCCAGCGCCTCACCCAGCAACAACAGGGAAGAATTATTGGAAAGACAATGGACGGGGGGATTTGGTTCGGTGGAATGATGATGAGAGTCGTCTAGTTGAAGTAAGAACAGAGTGTTGCTAGGGAACAGGATGGTTTTTAGTGTGGAAGACGAAAATTCTACGCCGCTGCTATATAAAACTGATCAGCATCAGGGCGGGTGCTGTGCCCTGTAATTGCCGGCGGATTGACGTGATAATGGCCAGTTACCTGATGCACGTCCGTGGGCAAAGCGTACCAAGCTATCTGCTGTAGCGCCTGGTGATACAGGGGACTTCAGGGGACCTCAGGGGACGAGCTCAGGGACAGGCCGTGGGGATTAGGGGACCAGGACGGTATCTGGGATCACTGATAGAGGATGGATGTTGTGAAGGGATGGAGAGCATCACGGCATCGGTCAGGATTCAAGATGACAGGACCAGGGAAGAGAAAGAGGGCGAACTGTCCACAGGGAGAACGAGAACGAGAAAAAAAAAAAAGCTGTTCTCACACTGGGCGCCAAGTGATTCATCTCCATCACTGACAGAGCAGAGCTTGCCTCCCCCTGTACCCCCCCAAATTTGACTGCTGTCACAGGCACAGGCAGACACTGTCAGGACGCTCATTCGCTCCACCGCCCATCACTGATGATTCCCACTCCCCTCCCAAGGCTAATTTTCACACCGCACACACCCTGCCTTCCCTTACCCTTGCCGACGGGACCCACATCCACTTTCACTCCCTCCTCCTCTCTCAACTCACCCTTTCTGCGTTGCGTTGCGTTGTGTTGCGCTGGAGCTTGCTTTGCTTTGCCTTGCCTTGCCTTGCGCTTCTACCCTCACCTCACCTCACCTTAACCTGGCACTGGCTGGCAAACCGCCTTCGCACTCTGCAAATAAGTACCCCCAAGCGCCCCCTCTCCTTCTCGTCTTTCCTCCCTCCTTCTTCTTTCCCTCTCCCTCTCTACCGCTCTTCAGCTCCATCTGAACTCCAACGCCTTTTTTCTGGATCATCTTCCTTTTTTTCCTTTTTATACCAACGTCTTTGTTTGTTGTGATACCCAATCTCCTTTGATACCCCCCGAAATCTTTCAGAATGGCCGAGGAACAGAAGAACGTCGTCGTCCCCGAGGAGACCAAGCCTGAGGCCACCGGTATCTCGGCTCCCACCGTCGAGACTCCCGCCGAGACCAAGCCCGCCGAAGAGACACCCGCTGTCGCTGCCGAGTCTGCTCCCGCTGCTGAGGACAAGCCTGCTGAGGAGGCCAAGCCCGCTGAGGCTGAAGAGGCCCCCAAGGCCGAGGAGAAGAAGGAGGAGGTCAAGCCCATCGAGGAGGGTCACCTGAACCACAAGGCTCAGGGCCTGAGCTTCCCCAAGTGAGTCGACTCGAGTCGCCGCGGCGCGTCGCAGCCCTACATATCTGTGCTATCATGGCGTACGATAGCTGGCGCTGCGTGCTGCGTGCACACCCGTTTAATCGCACCGTGTTTTCTAACCGCACACCTCAGGAACCTTATTGCCAGCAAGGAGTTCTTCTGGTTCGGCTCCGACGCCGTTGAGCCCAAGTCTCTCGCCCACTACCTCAAGGCCGAGAAGTCTGCCGATACTGCCCACTCCAACATCGCCTGGGCTTCCGAGACTGGCAAGGGTCTTCTCTTTGTCGGCGACAAGACCACCCCCTCTAGCGTCATCAGCCTGGTAAGTTGGGATCCACTCCCACGCAACCCCAATGCACGAACTGCCGGCATGTCACAGTGAGCTAACCACCAAAACCCCGCAGGCCGATGCTACTGAGCCCGAGACCGATGGCTCTCACAAGTTCCACCTCACCTCCAAGGGCAACAAGCACACCTTCAAGGCTGCTAACGCCGCTGAGCGTGACAACTGGGTTTCCCAGCTGAAGCTCAAGATCGCCGAGGCCAAGGAGCTCGTCGACACTGTCACCGAGTCGGAGACCTACAAGGCCACCGTCGAGAGCTTCAAGCCCGTTGTTCCTAAGAAGGAGGAGAAGGCTGCTGAGGCCCCCAAGGAGGAGACCGCCCCTGTCGTTGAGGAGCCCGTCGCCGAGGCTGCCCCCGCTGTTGAGGAGGCTCCCAAGGAGGAGGAAGCCAAGGACGAGCGCAAGAAGGAGGAGGTCAAGTCTGAGGAGCCCAAGCGACGATCCGCTAGCCGCAAGCGCACTTCTTTCTTCGGCTTCGGAAAGAAGGAGGAGTCCAAGAAGGAAGAGGTCAAGAAGGAGGCTGAGACCAAGCCCGTCGAGGAGACCGCCGTTACCGCCGAGACCCCTGCTGAGGAGGCTCCCAAGACTGAGGAGGTTCCCAAGATCGAGGAGCCCGCCAAGCCTGCTGAGACCGTTGAGGAGCCTGCCAAGGCTGTCGAGGAGACTCCCGCTGAGGCTGCTCCTGCTGCTGAGGAGAAGCCTGCCGAGAGCCCCAAGGAGAAGCCCACTGCCTCTAAGCGCAACAGCTTCTTCGGCAACGTCTTCTCTAAGAAGGAGAAGAAGACTCCCGAGCTGAAGCCCACTGAGCCCGCTGAGGCCCCCAAGGAGGGCGAGGCTGCTGAGACTGCCCCAGTCATCCCTCCCGTCGAGGCCACCACTCCCCTCGCCGTTGACGTCTCCAGCCCTGCCACTGTCCCCACTGAGACCACCGAGGCTGCTGCCGCTACCTCTCCCGCCCCTGAGGCTAAGAAGGAGATCAAGGAGAAGCGCAAGTCTTCTCTCCCCTTCGCTTTCGGCAAGCGTGACAAGTCTCCCGCTCCCGCCGAGGGCGAGAAGGTCAAGGAGAGCCCCTTCTCCAAGCTCCGCAACACCATCCGCGGCAAGTCCCCCAAGCCTGCTGAGAAGCACGCCGAGGAGCCCAAGGAGGAGACCCTCAAGGAGGAGCCTGCTAAGGAAGAGGAGGCCAAGACTGAGGCCCCCAAGGAGGAGGAGGCTGCCAAGCCTGCCGAGCCCGAGGCCGAGAACAAGCCTGAGAACGCTACCACTCCCGCTCCTGTCGTCACCGCCGCTGCCTAGAGGGTGGCCCGCCGTTGATCGTTGCGAGTTACGACTAAATCACCATGAACAAAAACTTTACCACAACACACATGCATTGAAAGGGTTGGGAATGGAAGGAAGGATCTGCATTTCTTCACAAGATACCGAGATACCCTGTCAAGACTGCTTCACTGATACCAATTTCCATATTTGCTGAATATGAGAGGAGGAAAGGAGAAAAAAAGGGTCTGGAAACAGACCACGAAACCACAAAAAAAAGTTGTCCCGGCTGCCGGCCTGGAGGAGGCGGCATGCTCGCGTCGTTGCTTATTGTCTTTTCTTGTCTGATACCCGGAATGGAGATAACTAATACTAATAATACAACTGCTGCGTGTTGAACATGTTGGTTTGGTTTACTATGCTCTTGTGAATGTTTACTCTTAAAACATTGGTTAATGTCGACCTTGGTTGGTACTGTTGACATGAATGTCACGTGCGCCCCCTGAATGCCTCCCAAACCATAGCCTCAGGACGTTGCATCCGCCTCACCTGCACATCACAGCCAAGTCGCGCATGACCAGCCGAATGGTCTGTCTGGTTAATATCACAATGGTAACGCAAGAGTTATTCATTCATGCATGCGTGCGTGCATCGATTGATCAGTTCAAAGCAAGTCTAGGTTCTGGATATCAAAGGCGCCAAAGGATCTTATCTAGCTAGATACATGCACATCGTCGTCGTAAATCCATCCCCGTAGAACCAACCGTACGTAAAACGTATAGTGTGTGACCAGAAATGACTCCCTTCAAGTCAAAATAGGCCAAAGTCAAGAGCAGCAGCATCCTTCACCTAGCACCCAGCAACAACGCCACGTTGTATCGTGTATGCCCTACCAAATGTTGCTTTTTCAGTGCCCATCTGTTCTGCCCAGACCAGACAGCCAAACAAGTCTCGTATATGTAAATAAAGATCACAAGCTCCCACTGCTTTCGTGTACTGCAGTTTGACCCCCCAAGGTTTCCTTTCCCATGCTTCTTCCAAAACGCCTGAATGCCTTCACAAGTCCAAATGCTGAGGGGAATAACCCAGTCATAATGATGAGGTGAACAAAGAATTATGTCGAGAAAAACAGGTCGTACATATCTCTAGGCAATTGATGCCAAAGGGCAAATTATATCCGGGAGCCCATGATATTCCAATGGGCCAAAGGGACAAGAGCGAAGAAAATATCTGCCTCATTAGGCCAAGGGTATCAAAGGATGATGCGAGCTAACATGACGCAACAGGACAGCTCCCGACGTCTCAAGCAGACACCGAAAGGTTTTTATACTTGCCAACCAGTTCTTCGATCTTGGGCAGTAGCTCAGGGATGCGGAACGGTTTGGAGATGACATCGTCCTACAGACAAATGATTAGCAAGATTCAACATGAGTATATCACTATGAGCACTTACAATCCCTGCGGCTTTTGCACTCTCGATCTGTTCCGGTCGTGCGTAAGCCGTGACAGCAATGATAGGAATGTGCTGGACAATGGTCCCCTCCCGTTCGAGCTCTCGGATTTTCCGAGCACACGTCATGCCGTCCATGACGGGCATTTCAAGATCCATGAGGATGACTGAGATATCGACACCCTCAGCCTCCTTGCCGGCCCAGAATCTTGATCGTTGCAGTGTCTGGAGCGCCTCTTTGCCGTGATTCGCGACAAACGTGTTGTTGCCGCAGTTGCGTAGCTGTCGCTGGAGAACCTTCTGGTTGACAATATTGTCCTCAACGATCAACACGTCAAACAGTTGGTTCGAGTCTTCGGGTCCTGGCCGTGAAACCTGGCGAGTAAGCTCAGGCTTGGACGGAGGGGTTAGAGACTGCGCCTTTCGCATAATCCTGAAAGGTGTGACCTGCTCGTAATCCGAGGAAGGGTTGAGAGAGCGCCGAGTTTTGATGTAGAAGCTGAACTTGCTGCCGATGCCTCGCTGGGATGTGACGCCAATCTGCCCTCCTTGCATCTCTGTCAAAATCCGCGAGATGAAGAGCCCAAGCCCTGATCCACCGTATTGCACGTGTGTTCGTGGAGTAGCCTGCTGGAACCGCTGGAACAGCAACCTCATTTCCTCCTCAAGCAAACCAGGACCCGTGTCTTCCACTGTGCAGTGGATGTTGATTTCCTCACCAACACCCCATTCATCCGCGTTGTTGATGTCCATGAGAGCCGTGCGCTGATGATCGATCCTGTCGAAATAGACCACACCCCTGCGAGTCAACTCAGACACATGCTTGGATGCGCTGAGGCTGACCGTAATAGTCCGCTTCTCCCGGCCTTGGGTGAACTTGATGGCGTTTGTCATCAAGTTGATCAACACCTGTCGAAGTCTGGAAGGATCAAGTTTCACCCACTTGATGCTGTAATCGTCAAAGCTCTTGTCCACGTTAAAGGCGAATTCGATGTCATGGGCTATCAACTCCGACTCAAACATCTTCAGCGCCCTTTGTACCACCCTCACAGGTTGCTCGTCCACAGGGGTCACTGCCAGGAGGTTTGAGTCTAGCTTTGATAGTGTCAGAATATCGTCGACAATGCGTTTCTGATGGCTTGCGCAAAGATTGATTGTGTTGGCAGCGTCGAGACAATTCTCCAACAGTGTTTCCACCTCGACTCTGACGTCGTGAGCGTCAAAAGTACTGATGTTGTTGGCAATTTGGTCGGCACATTGCAGAATTGCTGAAAGGGGGTTCCGCATCTCATGGCTCGTGATATCAATGAAGTTCTCCTGTTGCCGTTTCAACTCAACGGCTTCCTCCCGGCGCTCGCTTTGAACCTTTTCGGCCCATTTCTGGGAAGAAATGTCGGTGATGCAGCCAAAAATCAGCTTGAGATTGCCGTCTTGGTTCTTCTCCGGGTATGCGCTCATAAGCACCCACGTATCGATTGTGTTTCCGCCGCTCTGCTGACTGCACTTGAACCGGAATTCGACCGAGATGGTGACCTTGTCTGTGATTAGCCTGGTCCACGCCTGCTCCAGGGCAGCTCTGTCCTCGTTCCGAACGCTATCCATCCACGTATCCACCGAGTCTTCAGATCGAGAGTGCCTCGAAATCTGCCACCACATGTCGTTGCAGTAGTTGATTTTTCCAGCGAAATTAGCAATGAACATGCCAACTGGCGCAAACTCGGCCATTCTAGTAAACCTGTACTCGCTCTCCACGGCCTCCTGCGTGCGGAGGTAAAGCTGCATCGAGAGCTCTTGGCGATCCAAAGCGGCGAGCCGAGCAGCTCTTTGCCCTCGCTTGATCTCCTCCTCAAACAGGACGACTGAAGCCATCGATGTAGCAAGCTGCCGGTTGAGCAGATGGACAAACAGTTTGTAGTCGTCATCGTAAGGCCGTCGAGAGTTGGTGCCCATGACAATGAAACCGATCACAGATTCGCCCGCTGTAGTTGGAATAACGGGAAAGATAACAATGGTCTTTGAAGGATCACCGAACCCTCTCCAGTGGATGCCCTCAATGAGACTCGCTGGGAGGGTGCCGTTTTCTTCAGAGAGCACAACTGGGATGCCATTCGCAGCCATCGACTGGCGCATGTAGGGGGCAAAGCCGTCATCAGATGACCGTAAGTCGAGGTGTGAAGCCGCTGCTGGATGGTTCTCGGGGACACCAAGAGCGCCCTCAAGGACCATTTGGGGTGAATGGATCAAACTGCCAGAATGTAAAGATGAGACTTCGCTCTCATTGTCCTCTCTCGCAGAGTAAATCAATGCAAATGGGACATCAAATTCGTTATACTCGAGGCCCTTCTGCACCTGTGGCCAGAAACCCTGAACAGTCGTCGCCGCGGCCGTCCTCTCCCCGATTTCACGAAGTGTGAGCATCCTCCTCTCGTTGACTCGACGACGAGTGTTTTCGAATGCGGGATTGTACAATCCCACAACCTCGCCGTCGCCACCCACGAGAGGGACGATAGACCAGGAAAAGAAGGTTTCTTCCAAAAACCCGTGCCGGTTGATGAAAAGCCGATTCTCGTGCTTCATTGTGGCTTGGCCGGATTCCAGCGCGCTCTTGAAGACCGGTTTGATCTCATCCCAAATCTCGGGCCAAGCCTCCATGTAGCATGAACCCATAAGTTTTGGGTGTTTTCGGCCTGCAATGTCGAGATATGCTTCATTGTAGATGATAACGAACTGGGGTCCCCAGTACATGGCAGCAGGATGTGGACTGCCCATAACCAGGTTGGACATGGTTCTCAGGTCTACAGGCCAATCTTCGATGGGTCCTAGGGGGGTCGATGCCCAATCGACTGATCGAGCAAATTTGATGTGTGGAGGAAGACTTTCCGAGGGTGGTATCCTTGTCCAGTCAAAGATCGACCTCGCCGGTTGCGACTGGAACACCTGGTTTGTAAACTCATCAGGATGTAATCTTCCTTCGTCTTCCTGCATATCAACTTCAGCGCCATCAGGGTTGTTGGTGCTGAAAGTGACCCCCTCAGGCTCGGCATCACCAAAATAGTCGGGGGCATCAACGATTTCAGCGTCAGGGGTAACTGGCATCTCTGGTGAGTGTGCAACGCTTCGACTCTCCGGGGCAGCAGCCTCGTCAATAAGAGGGAGTGCAGAGCTTGGTCGAGAGCTAGCAAAGCCTGCGCGGGCGCTGACGAAACGGAATCTTCGCCTCAGTGTCGAATAGGTCCATGTGATGCCAGCGTAGACATGCGTAGCGGAGTTCGCTTCAGATAGCGTTCGAGCTTTGGCGGAGGTCATGATCCATGATTTAAAGCGTCCAAAATCGGTCTCTGGGCTGGCATCTTCTTGATCTACCGTCAGGAACTGGAGAAGTTCGTGCGCAACTCGCAGGGAAGCATTATAGTAAAGAATATGTAGCCCGGCGCGGCTACCATTGGCCGCATTATCCAAGTCTATCAGGAAGCTCGGTCTCTCATCTTGCTCAAGAAACTCGATAACGCCAATACCCTGCAGCATTTGTAGCCCTGGTGGGAGGGTGCGACTGTCTGGGCTTCCAGAATGCGCAGGTGCGTCCATTGAAGAGCCCCAACTACCAGGTGTGCTCTCAGATCTGCCAGGGCTGATAGAACTCACACTTGCGCGAGGCAGCTTGAGCGTCGTAACGCCTCCAGCTGGGTCTTCTCGCATACGGGAGAGCATCGATACAGCTGGGTCACCGGCAGGAAAGACCGTGGGGCGGTTGACATGTCTTGAAGGTGTGTGCGAGAAGAAGAGGGGGGAGAGGGGCCCTTCCTTCTTTCCTCTTGCGGCGGAGGGATGAAGACCCAAAGCTTGACTGGGGATTTCGACCTTGCGAGGTGGCGACGCACCGGTGCGAGCTTTCTTCACAGGAGACGGTTGCATGACGGTTTCGCCTCTGGTCGGGGCAGAGGGACGCTTCGCCGGAACGGGAGGCTGCGTGAGCCCTCCGGTGGGCGCGCTGATGCCTCGCCGACTGGCGATCGTGAGTGCACTCGCCTGTTGGATAGCGCTGGCAGTCGAGGCCGTCAATGATGGTGTCGCGGAGTCGGACACGGGCACGTTGGAGGCCAGGGTTGGTATGCTAGGATCTCGCCTCCATGCTGGTGCTGGAACTCGGGGAGGGACGTGGGCAACTATGCCGGCTGTTGCAGCTCTGTTGTAAGCCTCCCCAACAGCGTTGGCGGCAGCTTCTAGAATAGCAATGTCCGTCCCAGTCCCAAGTTCAGTGGTGCTTGCGCTCGATGGTGTGCGGGCAAGTCCTGAGGTCGAAGCGGCGGCGCAAGGACGGCGATGGCGATGGTCGTCGTCTTCGGGATCGATCGAATCGGCAGCGGCGGTAGAGGCGACGGGACAATTCGTAGATGCGGAGGGAGATGAGGAAGAGTTGGAACTAGAGAGCTGCTGCATGAATGCACCTGGGGCGAGGACGGAGTCGAAGCCCCGGGGGAGGGACTGCGAGTCCTGGCACCTAGTGGCTTGGGGCCTTGCGCAGCGGCAAGCAGGAGATCGAGATGGGACGAGGGGCGTGTGCCCGTTGAGCGTATGTGCACGCAGTGGAGGTGTGCGTAGGGATCTCGTGTGTATATTTCGGAAACAGTGGTGGTGGTTGGTGGTGAAAGTTACCTGGCTGCGGGAGTGGGGATGGGGAGGATGCAGTCAATGCTGGATTTCTGCCAGGTACCTCTCTAGGCGGCGCAATTAGCCCGGGCAGGCAGGTATATGTCGAGAATTACGGCGTCCAAGAGGGGGGGGGAGGGGGGAAGAAATGGGATAGGGATCGAGATGGGATAAGGGATCAGACGGAACGGTTGCAGGGGATTTCCAGCTAAAGTGTTCGGTAGCGCTCGTCGAGACTGGGACCATGCAGCTTGACTCGGACGCAACGTGGGTTTGGTTTGGCTTGTGGGAAAGGGGAAGTCCCAAATAGCCAATACGAAACAAAAGAGCCTTCGAGTCAATCCAACTTTTTTACTCCAAGCTCCAACTGTTCTTGTCCGGGTGGCGGGATCGGGAATCGGGGTCGAAAGAGGACGGACGGGTCCTGACGTACGTGAAGAGCGGTCCAGTAGGGCCGGAAGAGCCGCACGGAGGGGGATTCTAGGTCATCAGGCAGTACCAGGTGAAAGCGAGTCTCGGTAACGCGACCTTTGCTGTTCAAAAGGTCGGGTCTAGGTCAGCGCAGTGATAATTGGGGGATCCAGGGCCAGGGTCCGACTGGAGCCATCGATCAAGGGGCGAACAAGAGATGGATGGGAGTCTGATGGAATGTCGTCTCTCTCTAGAGGACGGACGTTGCAGCACAGCAGAAGGCTCCCAAAAGGATGGAGATGGTGGTTGGAACTGGAAGGGGGAGAAGCATGGAGGTCAAGTCAAGTCACGTCTGGGGAGATAAGTTGTGGTAGACAAGGTAAGGTAAGTACGGTGGAATCTCCGCATTCGCATCCAAGCTGAGCTTCCAGCTGGAAGGTGCGATGCAAATCCCAGTGCAGTGGGCGGTTCGGCATTGGGGGAAGGCACGAGGTTGCCTGCTCCTACAGGTCCAGCTGTAACTAACCACCCAAGGCACTTGCCCAATGCCCAATACGGAACACATCAGCAAAGCGCAGGGCTAGAAAAAGTAATCAAGGCTAAGAAAAGATGGAAGGGATCAACAATCGCTTCAGCTCTCCCCAACTTCTGCCTCTACCAAATCCCGACAGACAGCACCGAGCATCGCACCCTCGCCAGCATCCATCAGACAGAACCGGGGTTCGCTAGCCATGGAGATTGGGATGGGGAATTGGCTTGCGGCGCCTAGCGAGTGGATATACGACGCCTCCTCCTGCACCAAATAGCTCCTGCGCTTTGGAGGCCCGGCTTGGCACCTGGGACAAGGGCAATGACAAGGACCATGGCCACGCTGGGATTCCGCACTGGATATCGCAGGAGCCTCTTCAAAGGGCCCTCTCAGCAATTGCGAGGCCCCCAGAGTCATCCTCCTCCACCAGGCTTGACATTGCAGCGGCTCTTGTGCCAAGTCCATGCGCCTGAGACACTTTACTTGTCTGGCTTTACATTGGCGGACGCGCTTCTGACTTCGATTGAGCCATGCGGCAGATCCACTCTCCACACACGCGGCCGGCTTAGTACCTTGCGAGACGAATGAAACGAACGGACACAAGCCGGCAGAACCAGGCGACGAAGTGACATGACAGGTCATGATTTGGGTTGACTTCGCTTTTACCTCACGACCACCCACCTCCCCCTAGTCAGTCATCTATTTCCTCCCATCCACCGACGACGCAACCGACATATTACTGTACATGTCAGGTCATGCTTAGAGACAGCAAGAGGGAGACAGAGACAGGGTCGACATGCACGATGGAGGATATTGGCTGGTGCTACTCCGCAGCAGTCGTAAACGGCGGCGGAAGCATCGGTGCAACGTCTTGGCACCAGCACAATGAGTGCTGCGACAGGGCCTATATAGGGCCAGACCTTCGATAAGTAAGTCTCATGGTAACCACATCAGGTGCCGTTCGAATTAATTTATCAGCAACGTCCATATGGAACAGCTCATCACAATTTGTCGACATTTCCTCCAGCCTCTAGCTTCTGTCCTTTCTACACCAGAGGTCTTCGGGGCTGAACAGAGGCGCCTTCGCGAATTCCCCTTCTGAGCTTGGCTCGTTAATCAAGTGGAGAGTCATGAATGACAGTTACCGAAGCAAGCCTCATTCTGCACCTGTCTCTCCCTTCAGCCTCCTGGCATGCCTCGGTTGGTGTGAGGAGAGGAGGTGATAGGGCGCAGAGCATGGGAATGACATGCAAAACCCACAGGCCACGGGGCGAATGAGCGAGTGAGAGACTAAGGGAAGGGGGTGATGCACCGGGCAAAGAAAAAATAAGAAAAAAAGTTCCCGATCTCTTCGGAAAATGGGCAAATGGTGGTGGCAGCGTCCCGTGCGTCGAACGGATGCAGTGGAACTCACTCGCCCACATCAAGAAACGCCGATGACGATCATGGGGATCTAGAACGGTCTTTTCCTCGCACGCCTTGAGACTTGGTGCCCCGCCTAGTCCAGTGCCCCTGTCGGCCTTCTCACAAGCGTCTCCACAGGTCCCAGAGAACATGGTCTGGATGAGGTCCCTGGGTCTTGGCTGAAGGGTCGGCCTTGGCATTTGGCGCGAGAAAGCGCAAGCCGTATCAAATACGCGGCCCAGCCTAGAGGCAGTCTTCTGGGCCGTCAGCAACAGAGTTTGTCGGCCGAGTTGGCTTTCGAAACCAGCCCAATCAGCCGGCAGTTGGGTCCCGTCGAGTCTAGTTTGACGTGTCGGGATGCATAGAATCGTCTCCAAGGTTCGAAGCGGTGTGGAGATTGTTGAGATCGGGCGAGTGACATTTTCCTTCTGGGCGGTCTCGTCCCGCGCAGCCATCCCGTTAATCCCATGATGCTGGAAAATCGCTGCACGCAGGTGATGAGGTGACGCTGGTGGCTGTTTCGGTCTCTGGATAAGTTGTTGACGCCAGGGGGGGCGAGCTGCTTTTGTTGTCTCGCGGTGAGAGGAAAGGCTCCCGGTTGATATCAGCACCCAAACATGAGTATGTCTGGACACGCTGACCCAGGCCTGGTATGCTATTTTACCATGGGAATGAGCATTTCCCATGGACCCCCATGGTGTTCCCATACACCACACTTTACACTGGCTCTCAGGAGGCGTTGGTGAACCTCACACTGAGCTGGCGGAAAGATCTCTCCCGCCCACAGCCTTGCTGTCTCATTTGTGAGGTATTTCAACCACACACATGGACAAGTGCATTGCTATCTGTGCAGCGTGGTCGTATCGGATCTACCCCGGACAGATGTCGAGTTGCACAATGTTGATGTGTCACTTCACCAAGCCAACTCGCCAGGCATTGGAGGTCTGTGACCATAGGGTAGCTCGGTTGTGATGTGCCTGTGCTCCTCGGCCCGGATGATCATGGACAGTGTCAATGGGTACTATACCCGGTCTCTCTGACCATTGAGGCAACACACGGATCATCCGGCTCTCAATACCCGTTGGCGTATGGTCTATAATGGGAATGCCTTCATTTGAAATGGGGATTGACATTCACTTCCCGGCCTGCCAAGACGACCCCGCTACCTGTTCGTCATATTATTTTTATCACGACGCAACCCATGTGAGAAGAGTGTTTCGCTCAGAGGTAACGAGTCTAGTTGCTTTAACTCATCAATTATTCTAACTCGTCGTTTTAAGTCTTCACAGGGACTACATTGCCCTCAACACAGATCAACTAGCACCGAGTGAGATGCGATACCATGGCGTCTATCCCATACACAAGGGACATAACTAACATGATTCATATCGAGACTCGACTAACAAAACCAACACCAGCGGCTAAGGGCCATCCAGACTGGCTCGTTGGACAAGAAGACGACGGCGAGGGACGGCAATGGAGCGGGAACGCCAGCTTCCGCAGTACGGCACGGCAAGCAATCAAACACGATCTCTTACCAGGTCGGACCTGCAACCTCTTGGAGAGCAAAGGAACAAATCCCTGGCGCTGAGCAAGCCAGCGTTTCCCAAACGCACGGCATTCACATGGTGAAGCGGCAGCACGGGATGCCCATTGGCCGGACGAGGACGGCCCAACCACCGGGCAAGCCAATCGGGCGGCCCCATCAACGCCGGGTTCCCACCCGGGCGCTTAAACAGAGCAGATCATGGGCAGATTCGACCTCTGATTGGTAAACGCCGTTGATACTCCTCGTCGAGATGCAGTGATGGACAGATGGAAATGCCTCCAGACGCCGGCTCCTCCAGCGCTCACAGGTCAGTCGCATCCCGTCACAGTGGCCTCTCACAGCACCAAGAGCCTCTCACAGAGCATGGCACATGGGGCGCGGCGCATGGGTGGTTCCCTCTTTGCCGGCCACCTTGGACGGCCGGCCCTTAAACGCTTGCCAGCCCCCAACCTGCCACGCCTTCGGACCAGAGCTCTTTTTTCCTCCAACTCCTCAGCTTGACTTGACGTTGGTGACCAGGTTGCGGGCCAACGACTGTCCATCGACGAACCTGACCAACGGCCTAATTACAGACGGCGCGACGACCTCTGATGTGGAATCGACACTAGAATCAAGAGCAGCCAAGCACCCAGCAAGAGCCAGCAAAAGAAACATACCCTCGCCAACCCCACCTCGACAATATGAAGTTCCTCGCCCGTTCCTCGTCCAAGCAGCTCAAGGAGCCCAAGGGCGGCGAAGAGCCCACCAAAAGGACCTACCGCATCATTAACCGGAGATGGCCTTTTGTCTCGAGAAAGGCTACATGGTGGCTGATGCCCCTTGAGCTGGCTGGCGTCATTCCCATCCTTGCTCTCACGAGCATTGCGCAGCCCGATCTCTACCGCTCCGACATGTGGCGGATCGGCTGGGAGCACGACCCTCCGCTGAACTCGAACCCGGCCATGGTTCTGTACGCCTACGCCAACTATCAGCCGCTGCCCAAGATTGCCCTCATCTGGACTCGCACGTGAGTTGACTCCCAGATTCATCGCATGCGATAGCATTGACTGAGACGGAGCAGATTCACCGACTACAATGTGGCCATTGCCGTCATTTCACTATTCTTCCTGCTCAGCAAGCTTACCGCCTTTATCATGAAGGTCTGGTATCCGATCCTGGCCACCTTTATCAACGTCAGCATGGTTACCCTTTACACCGTGAGCGTCTACGGACAGATTGGACCCGATTATGCCGATCCGGAATATCCTGCTCCAGCCGCCTGGTACTGGCGCTATGGTTGTGGCCTTGCCAAGCCATACGGCAAGTACAAGAGCTGCAGGATCGCTCAGGGTCAGCTTGTGGTGACACTCTGGTTGCTGTAAGTCACCACTTCCCAGACACAGATTCTAGTTACTGACAAGTTAAATAGCGTTGTTTACATTGCTAACCTGGGCTTCTCCATTTATGCCATGATCCCCAACAAGATTAACGATATTTCCGAAGACGAGGACGATGACGATGAGTCTACGCCCACGGAGTCCAAGGAGGGACAAGGTGTCTGGGAGATGCACAACATGAAGACACCCACCAGCTCCCGGGCCGTGCCTTTTACGCCCAGGACGCAAGCCTTTCATACGTTGGATCGTCAACTGCCGCTGCGGTCCCAGCAGACCCGGTTTGCATAGTGGGCAAGCATCAACGCATGGCTAAGAGTTGAAAAGGACCTCGTTTCTGGGAGACGTAGGTTCATGACATGTACACACACGGAGGATGGGCGAAATTTTCCTTGGATATGGACAGCATTGGGTGTTTGGAGTTTTGGATGATATACCATGAAACACAAGGTTGGGCCAAATGAGCCACAGCCAGGTTCTGTCTTTAACATGTCACCGATATATATACATATATGTATATGGATGGATATATGAGAGTAATTACAAGTTACCAAAGCTCGATACTTGGCGCAAACTTGCCTATTTCGTCGGTTAACCTGCCGCTACCTGAATGGGCAGGTCGGGTGAGACCCGGTCACGGCGGATACTCCACTCGCCGAGTCTAAGAGATAGATAAAGGTGAAGGCGAGTATTGATGATGACTTCATTCCTGGGGACCTGAGCCGGTCGTACAGAGCTTGATACCTCATGTTGACTTGACAATGAGCATCTACAGAACAGTCCCTGCTGTGATACCGTGCCGGTAACGGCCTGAGCTTCCCCCGCCTTCGGGACGCCGTCTTCGGCCTCCGCAATGGATAGATCGGATCGCACTTGCCTTGCCGGTGCCGACCGGTAGCAGTTCCCGGCTCCGGCAGTCGTGCCCCACACAAGCTTGGGGATGATGCTTTCGACGTAAAAGACGTCACCCCGCAATCACAACCGTCATTCCCTTCCACCATCATCATTCGGGACAGGTCACGACGGGGGGCATCTCATCTTTTTTTGTTCCTGTGTCGTCAGTTTGTCGTCTGTCATCAATTGGTTCCCGTAGTGGCAAACTCTACTCCTTGTGCTTTAAGTACTTCCTTTGCTTGCCGCCCATCATGACTTTGCTTCAACGCTTGGTTGCTCCCTCTTCGCGAGGCGCGCTGCGACTATCTCCAGCAATTACTTTGATGATCACTCGGAGAGCTTCAAACATGGCGCCTCCCAAGGTATGATAAGCCCGCGGGTGACTTTCTATGGCCCGGCTAACAGTTGTTTAGCTCAAGGACCCGTCCCTTCTGAAGCAGGACGTTTGCTACGTCAACGGCGAATGGGTCAAGGCCAAGTCTGGCAAGACGTTCAAGGTGAACGGTAAACTTCAATAACCCGGTATTCATCTTATCAGTGATACCTGACCTGTCTAGATCCATCAAACGGCGAGCTTATCGGAACCTGTCCCGAGTTCAACTCAGAGGATACCCAGTCGGCCATCCGAGCAGCTGCCGATGCTTTCCCTTCTTTCCGTTCCAAGACGGGCCGTGAGCGGTCCAAGCTGTTGCGCGCATGGTATGAGCAGATGACTGCTAATGCTGAGGATATCGCCAAGCTCATTACCTGGGAGAACGGAAAGCCCATTGCTGATGCCAAGGGCGAGACCATTTATGCCGCCAACTTCCTCGAGTGGTTTAGTGAGGAGGCCCCACGAGTGTACGGTGACACTATTCCGAGCTCTGTCCCTGGAAACAGGGTATGGACCATCAAGGAACCCGTGGGAGTGTGCGGGTTGATTACACCGTAAGTGACCGCGTTTCTTCAGATACAGGGTGTTGACAAGACATTAGATGGAACTTCCCTGCGGCCATGATCACTCGAAAGATTGGACCTGCGCTGGCAGCGGGTTGCACAGTTGTCTGCAAGGCCCCCGCCGAGACGCCATTTACATCTCTGGCTCTGGCCGAACTGGCTCATAGGGCAGGCATCCCCAAGGGCGTCGTTAATGTGGTGACTTCTATGGAAAACACCCCTGAACTCGGCGAGCTTCTTACTTCTGATCCTACCATTAAGAAGATCTCCTTTACTGGATCTACTGGAGTTGGTAAGCTCCTTATGAAGCAGTCGTCTGGTACTCTCAAGAAGCTCTCGATGGAGCTCGGTGGTAACGCCCCGTTCATCGTCTTTGATGACGCCGATGTCGATGCTGCCGTTGATGGAGCTATTTCGTCCAAGTTCCGATCTTCAGGACAGACATGCGTGTGTGCCAACCGCATCTACGTCCAGCGTGGTATCTATGACGAATTTGTTAAGAAGTTTACCGAAAAGGTCAAGACATTTAGCGTGGGCAACGGTTTCGGGCAGGGTGTCACACATGGGCCTCTGATCCACGATCGTGCAGTACAAAAGGCCGAGGATCACGTCAAGGATGCTGAGAAGAAGGGCGGAAAGGTCACCATCGGAGGCCAGAGACTTAACGACCTCGGCTCCAACTTTTACGCACCTACCGTTATTCGAGATATGACATCTGATATGGACATGGCGTCACAGGAGACATTTGGACCTGTGGCTGGTCTCTTCCCCTTTGAGACGGAGGAGGAGGTGGTCAAGATGGCCAACAACACCGAAGTTGGCCTGGCTGGTTACTTCTTTTCCCGCGATCTCGAGCGGGTACACCGCATCGCAGAGGCCCTCGAGGTGGGTATGGTTGGTGTCAACACTGGTATCATCTCGGACCCTGCTGCACCCTTTGGTGGCGTTAAGGAGAGCGGCTTCGGCCGTGAGGGCTCGCTGTACGGTATTTCTGAATACCAGATCACCAAGATGATTACATTTGGAGGAATGGGTAAGACTCTTCAGTCATGAGATGGGAGGATCAAGATAGGATAACTTAGGAGAAGAATGGAGCTGTCACCAGCGAACGATAAGAATGGCTGACCTTTGCCTCTTTCATTACCTGTAAAAGCCTTTCGGCTTACCCTTGCCTCAATTGCTTCCCTGCTGGATGAACATTGACTCAAGACATTTAAAGCCAGGAGTGTGGTGACTCGGGTACCGAACCCGATAGGTGAGGTAAACACGACATCTGGAACTGTGGTATCTCGAGTGTTTTAGACACCTGAAGCCACATTCGTGTACACCTCCGCGCAGGTGAAGTTGTCTCGGTCATTGTCTTAGTTTCGAGAAAGGGGATACCTTGTAAGGCGGTGTTGCTAGATATGATGTATCTGATGGAGCGGAGTCGGTGCAAGAGTCCGACCCAGCTGTAGAGGTACGAGTGATGAGAAGCGAAACCCCAAGGCAGGGGGTAGAAGCTGATTGAACTGTTTACTCATAGGCGGTGTCTAACGGGGTCCTAATGATTATAGGTAAATGGTATTATCAACCCTTGCATGAGGCTAAAATGAAAGTGGTCATACCTAAAGTCCCTGTCCAGGTCTTGGGCTGATGTCAACTGACACCTCGTCTGCTCAACAGGAGCATGTGCGGAGAAGACGTTGACTGGGAACAAAAAGAAGATTCGCAAAGTGCTTGTGAAGCCAAAAAAGTTTGATCGTGGCAGGGTTCGAACCTACGACCTGTGGTGTTCTAGAGGATGTCCCTCTGTAAGACCAATGTGATACCACTACACCACACGACCAATTGATGATGACAGTCGTTCCAAACAGAACTGAAGTGTGACGCCTCCAGGATAGAAAGCAAGGGTTGATTCCTTGTTGTCTTCTTTATTAGAGAGGTAATTGGGGGATGCCGTGGCAAAGAGAGATTGAATTGAAGTTATAGGGTATAGTATTCGAAAACGTGAGCAAGAAATTGGCGCTCGTTCGATCATTCTGGTAGATTAGCTGCCCCTCCTCTGGTAGGTCATTAGCTGTAGACTCTGACAATGGATGAAGCTCAACAGCCATAATGCCCTCAACAACTCGAATACTTTATCATGGCCACATATTTATTTACTGTTATAATGCTCCTTCAAATCCTCAAGCTCTACTCCTCTATAGAGACCTCGTAGGCCCAACGAGCAGAGCCAAGAGTTATGCTGCACCAATAGAACCCCTCACAATTCAACCACCCTTATCTTATCAGCCCACGACGTGTGAAACCTGCAACTGATCTGACGTTGAAGCTCAGGAACTCGACCTCGACAGACCCTGGCTTTATCCATTCTACCATTTTACGCAACATACACGAGACAATGGCGCTATCGCGAGCTCATGGACCCGTGAGGAACTGCCTGCGCCAATTGGCATCCTCGGAGGGGTAAGTCTCGACCTTTGACTCGAAGCAAAACTTGCGACGACAATTGACTGACAATGGGTTAGATCCTCCCTCCAGACCCTCTCCCGCCGACCGATCACCTCGATAGCTGCCGCTCAGCCCCTCCCCCGCTATTTCTCCAGCTCGTCAGCTCTTCTAAAGAAGCGCAAGATCGCGGCCGCGAGCAACAGCCCCAACGCCAAGGCCGCGGCCGGGACTGTTAACAAGGCCGAGTACGACACGGAGGCGGGCAGCGGCGCTCAACCCAACCCGGAGGACCCTCTTGACTTTAGCTCCGTGGTGGCAGCGTACGCACCAATCGATGCTCACTTCAAGACGCAGCTGGCGGGCATGGTTCACGGAGGACGTTTCAACCCTACAAACCTAGGCTCCCTCCCTGTAGCCGTCAAGGACCCCGAGGCGGGAGACGGATCCTTCCCACTGCGGGAGCTCGCGCAGGTGGTTCCCCGTTCAGGCCGGACCATCTCGCTGCTGGTGCACGACAAGGCCTACATCAAGCCCATCATGTCGGCGGTGCAGTCGAGCCGCGAGTTCAACCAACAGCCGCAGCGGAGCGAGGACAACGAGCTCGAGCTGCTGCTCAAGGTGGAGCTGGAGCGCAAGGACGACGTGGTCCGACGCATCAAGGAGGCCGTGCAGCTGTGGAAGGACCGTATCCGCCAGGCGAGGTCCAAGCATGAAAAGGTGCTCAAGGACTGGAAGAAGACGGGAGCCGTGCTGCCCGACGTAGTCAAGAAGGCTGAGAAGGAGCTGCAAAAGGTTCAGGATAAGAAGATGAAGGATATTGACCAGGAGGAGGCCCAGACCATCCGCCAACTGTAGATTTCATGAGGGCCATATGTGTGTGTATCATCATAGATGCCTGTCATTCAGGCGTGCGAGTGTGTATGTGGGACATTGTACTAGTATTACATATCATGACAAAGTGTACACTGATCTTTTTTCATCATTGATCACTTCTAAGCTCGTGCTTGCTTCCCGTTGCCTCCCTTCTTGACCAACAGCGATGTCAACTTCTTCTCGAATGAGTTGACGTCGCTGGTCGTGTACGTTTCAGCCCGGAGATGCCACGAGCGAGACACGCCCACGGGGTCAGCCGCGAACTTGGGCGTCTCGTGCTGTCCGCTGACGGCCTTTTGTGTGATGACCTTGCGGACAGCCTCCTCGGCGTCCGAGATGGCGGGGCCCTTGGACTCTCCGCCCTCGGCCTGGATCTTGTCCTGGATGTGCTTTTCGGCAGCCTTCTTGGCTTCGGCGTCGGCAAAGAAGCGCAGTCCGTCGGCCTCGACCTCGGAGGCGTAGTGGCGGGCTTGGAAGGCTTGCGGGGCACCGACGTGATCAGCCGTGCCCAAGACACTGAGGTTCTGAAGGACGGTGGCCGAGTTTCCGGTCGCGGAGCCCGGGACGGCGGGCGCATAGTCGGCGATAGACTCGAGAGTCAGCGAAGGTGTGTACTCGGTTCGCATGCCAAATCGCATTGCGTTGTCAAAGTGTCGCTCGTCGGGGTCCAGGGTCGCGTACTGATCACCACGACCTCTCGTCTTGTCCTTGTCATCATCGTCTCGCTTTCGAACGTCCTTCTTGCCTCCCCGACCTCGACCTCGGGCACCTCCTCTACCTCTACCACGGAAACCGCCTCCGCGAACGGGCGAAGATGACCGAGGCGGGCCGCCAGCTGAGGATCCTCCTCTTCCAGCGAATCCTCCTCTTCCAGCGAATCCGCCTCGTCCACGGAGTGCACCACGTCCGCGGAATCCTCCTCTTCCTCGGAGAGGCAGGCTCTTCACGTTGAGAACCTTGGGAGGGCCGGCCGGGGCAGGTCGGTTCTGGTTGCCGGGCCCATTGGGAGGGTTGGCGGCCTGCAATTGTGTCGTTGAGAATTGGCGGATGCAGTTTCGGAGAGCGTCCGAGGCCTGCTCGAGCTCTGGCCTTGTCCGGCTACACACCGAACGCAAAGCGTGGCGATGCATTGTTGCTTGTGGTCGTCTGATGTGGTGAAGCTGGGCTGTGAGATGCTGCTTGAACATCCATATCCAATTTTCTGCCAAGGGTGGGGTGACTAAGCCATTGGATTTAATAGGCGCAGCCATTGACCAATCATTTGCACTCATCACACGCATACATAGATTCACTCAATAGAGATACTATCATCCAATCTCAATATTCTCATCTCAATAAACAGGCATGTAGGTAGTGAAAACAGTATTGTAGGTACATAGGACTGGCTGTCTACTCAATCCCATACCACTAAGCATATCGCAAGATCCATATTTCGATCATGCACCCCAAGTCCAAGTCCAATTCCAAGTCCCAGGCAATGGCTCCTTCTATGAGGTCCCGAACCCCTTCTCCTCCTCGTTCCACTCCGCTACCTATACATGACGCCTCCAGGCGTACCAAGATCAACCCATCCAAACTCCAGACGGCATGCTTGAGCGGCGCTGTGCGGAAAGGATCAGGTGCCGAGTTGACCATTTCTGGTCTGCGGGTTAGGACAGTTACGTCCGCCACTCGGAGAGAGCAGAGGTCGATATCGACCACGTCAACACGGCTGTCACACCGTGGGCACAATGGCCGCTTTCGTGCTGAATGTCCTTGCTCTCGGCACCCGAAACCACATCGTCGACGCTGTCTACACCCCAAAGTGCCCTGGGCGTTGCTCTGTTTGCGTTGTTGTTGTTGTTGTTTCTGTTTCAAATAAGGCGAAACTGGCTGTTCCGGGTTGCCCTCGGAGACCTGCCGCCGTTGTGTTTGTGAATGAATGTCCCCCAATAGAGGGCAGTTAATATTAAAACGACTCGGTGCTTCGTGTTCGTGGCTGCATATCGCCCCCCACTATACGCTCTGCGGCTGGACCAAGGCAGGCTATAAAAGGTCAGATGTGACATCTCGTGCAGCGGGCATATATTACTTACCGGACTGTTCAACATGTGCTGCCGCTTGTTCCGGCTCTTCTTGATATGACTCTTTAAAGCGCTCGAGTCAAGAGGCTTCAAGAGCTCAAAGCTGCAAAGGAGCTCCGCAGACACAGACATGACTGCGCCCCAATTGTCGAATTCGCCGCAGTACTGCACACAAGTTAGCCGATTATCCGTAGTCTCGCAGAGGCTGACGTACATTGGGGGCGCTAAAGACAGTAACCAAAACCCGGTCATTAAAGAATTCGTACCCGTCCTCGACCACCATGTGTGCGCGGCAGATAAGATCAAAGTCGTGATCCGCCAGAAACTCGGTGATGACGCGTTTTCCAAAACAGTAGCTGACGCCCCTCTCGTTGGCTTCCCAATCCTGCTCCATGTCTGCGGGGTCTGACCAAAGCAAATCGTTGAGCAGGCCGTAGTCGGGGACGTCTGTTGGTCGAGCAATGTTTCGAATATCGTCCATGTGGACCAGCGCCGGCGATAGGCCTCCGTGAACGCAAAAGATCTTGCCGGCAACGATGGCGGCGATGGGGAGTGTGTTGAAGCAGTCGATGAATGTCTTCCAGATCTTGACGTTGCAGCGCCTCTTGCACTCATCGTAAAATCCGTACACTCGTGTGACGTTAGCGCACTCGTGGTTTCCGCGGAGGAGGAAAAAGTTCTCGGGGAACTTGAGCTTATAGCATAGGAGTAGAAGGATCGTCTCCAGAGATTGCTTGCCTCGATCGACATAGTCGCCCAGGAATAGGTAGTTGGAGTTCGGGGGGAATCCGCACATCTCAAACATTCTGATAACGTCCGTGTACTGGCCATGAACATCTCCAACAACCTTGACGGGGGCATCCAATTCCAGGAGCGCAGGTTGCGACAGGAAGACTTCCCTGGCCCTCTGACAAATGGCGACAATTTCGGCATTCTTCAGGCAGACACTCTTGGTAACCTTTCCAGCGTAGCCTGCATCCAAGAGTCGCTTTATAAAATCATCGAGATCAATATCCTTGATGTCTGACATGGCAACATTGGAGCCCTCCTTGGAGTCTGCCGAGGGGCCATTGTGGATAGGGTTGATGGTGTTTTCCCGCTTCACCAGGATCGACTGGCCTGGGTTCTGCATGTGCGCATTCGCACCCGCGTTGACCGACGGCGGCTGATCCGAGACATGATCAACCTCACCCGAAGCTTGAGCCGCGCTCACGTCGTGGGTGCCGCCCTTGGTGTGGCCCTGGACGGGAGACGGCGGGGGTTGGTCATCTCCAACGGCCGACTCTGCAAGCGCTGACTCGGAAGTGGAGATGTCTGTCGCATCTGTCTTGAGGGGAGGGAGCTCACTCCGGCTCAATCGGGATGAGCTCGAGCGCCCGCTCCTACCGGACCGTCCAGAGGTCTCTTCGCTCTTGGAGTCGGTTGTAGAATCGCCGTTGGATATAATCTGAGAGTTCCTGGGGCTGTCCGTCTTGCCGCTGCCGGGGATCTTGGATCGCAGGGAGCGAAAGGATCGCGACGAGTCCTTGGTATCAGATCTGCTGAACGATGGGTAAGACTGGAGGGGGCCGTCAGGGCCGGCAGAGCCGGAGCCCTTGGAGCCACTCTCCCGGGAGCTTTGGTTACCCATTGTACCTCGATCCCGCACTCGTCAGATTGCGACAACTATCTCGAGATTGCGTGGTGGGATGCGTATTGGTTGTCGATGTGAGTTTCAGTGTTGCTTTTATCAAAACCTTAACGGCGCCGCGGGTGGTTGGGCGACGAGGGTTTGCGGCAAGGGAGGGGTTAAGGAGGATGGAAAAGGTGGTCGAAGGTGTAGAAGAAGGAGCAGCGACGACGTCGTCTTTGAGCGTCCGTCTTGGGCGACTTTGGTTGATGCTTAGGATAGAGGTACAGGTTGTCGAGTTTGGTCGGCGACCAGTGGGTTTTGCGGCGATGACGTCGTGGGGAGGGAAGTTCGTTAACGCCGGGGCGAAGCCGGAGGGATAGAAAGCGCGACTGAGCGAGGGTCGGAGATAATATTCCCAGACGAGAAAGACCGAATTCGAGTCGAGACTAGAAATACCGGGTGTCAGTCTGACTCATTTGTCAGAGCAGAAAAAGGCTGTGTCAAGGCTGATGCACGGAGGAGCTGCGGCGCATACAGGACGAGACTGAGACGGCGAGTGGTGAAAAAAAAAAAGTTGTCGTGGGGAACGGCAGGTGAAAGACAAGGTGATGTATATAAGATAGGCCAGCAAAAAGCAGCAGCTTTATTGTCGCAGCGGTGATAAAAGGCGCGGGGGGTAAATGTACCTGCGGATGGAAACGGGTCGAGTTGAAAAATCAGATCGCCAAGACGTTTGGAGAGAAACGAGCGTCAAGGAGCTATCGAGTGCTGGCAGAGATTATAGGCGAGGGGGAAGGAGGCGAGAGATGGCGCTGAAAAGGCAGCGGGCGGCGTAGGTTGCGCAGCAAAGCAAAGCGAGCGCAGGGCAGGGCAGGGCAGAGCAGGGTATGTAGGGCGGGTGAGTCTGAAGGTGTTCAAGTTGGTTTTCGCATGCGAATGACGTCGATTGAATAAAAAGGTCGAGGCTGAGAGCCCTGTCGTAGAAGGCGATGGACTGACGGTAGCTTGTTAATGTTGGGTTGGATGGTCAAGAGCACAGACAATCAAGTCAAGTCAAGCACGACGGGACGGATGAGGCTCAAAGGTTGCTTGCAAGAGGGAAAAGGAACAGGTCCAGAGGGTGATGCAAGACGAGAGTAGAGTACTACAAGGCCCCGGGCTTGGCTTGGGCACAGTAAGTATACTCTGCAAGAAACGACCCAGCGACAACCTTGGAAGGCAAGGCAAAGGCAAGGAGGTTGAAATGCGTACCGACCGATTGCCCGGTCTGCGCGTATCCGTACCTAGTATGGAACCTAGCTGTAGGCCGGTCGAGAAGCTCGCTCGCTCTCGCTCTCTTCTGTTTGCCTCTGCCTCTGAGCGGAGCCGGATAAGGTCGAAGCGATGGAGCAGAGCAAAAAGTGGCGGCGCGGGCTGTGGAATTAAGGTTCCACACCCCTCTTTCCTTTCTTTCTTGGGCGACTCTTTTTGGGTTTATCAAAGCTAATGGGGAGAAGCAGGGGAAGATCGATTATTAGAATCACTGTGTTTGTTGTTGTCGAGATCGAGTTGTCTGCAGAGGCAGGAGAAGGGTCAGACTGGCAAAAAGAGGCACAGCAGCAGAGCGGCGAGAAAAACCAGCTTCAATGACATGCACCCGTCAAGATGCGGTTTGTCCGGGGGTTGATCGGCGCCCAATGGAAGCTCGCTGCTCGCAGGGGACGAACTGTGCTCGGTGATGTTGGGGCCCAAAAGGCAGGGGTCTTGAGAGGGCAGTCGGGGGAGCCGTGAGGAGGATCCTGCCTTTTACTGTCCATGGAAGACGGTCGATAATAAACCAGTTCGCGATCAGACAGCTACTCTCCCTCTCCTCGGCCATCGTCTGGACCGGACTGACTTGAACAAACTTGCATCTCCGTCGCAGTCGTCATATGGCGGGACTCTGTTTGGTCTTGGGACCTGTCCTGACGACTCCACCAGACAGGCTAGACCTTGAAGGAAGCCAAGTCCAGATCTGCCAACCTTGCTTGTCTCGCCAGCAACCTACAGAGACAAGCAAGACGGTCTCTCTGGAGGAGCAACAGATGAGATGGCCAGACTATGCGACGCGAGTTTCTCTTCCTCTCCCACTCAAAGCTGCAGACGCTGCAGGCCATGCATAAGGCATTGACCCAGCAGAGGAACTTGCTTGTCTACCTACTGAGGCCCTGGCAATCCTTGACCTTGGATGCAATCTGGTGCTCCATCACGGGAGCCAGTTGGCACGTGCGAGAGCTTGATATGGAGACCCGACGCCAGGATCAAGCAAGGAAGAGGAAAAAAAAAACTGCCAGGTCGAGGGCGCGGCTCGGTAACCGACTCGAGACGACTCAATTCAGCCCTGATAAGTTCCCTTTCCTCAGCTCATCCTTGCCAATCGGCAATCGTCTCACCACGCAACTATTGAGGCAAATAATCAAGAGAAAAGGAAGAAAAGGGCCGGCTGCGTTACGTCGACCATCAACCACCAACGAGTAGAGGGAACCCAAGAGGCCAAGGGCCAAGGCCCGCTAGCACATTTCTAGGCACATGCTCAACCCCCTCTCTCCTCAAGGACTAGGAGTCTTGTTTGAACTGATGTGTCGTTCTGCTGCTTTTGAGGCCGCTCTCACACCCATTTTTTGCACATTCAGACTTTTGCCCGTCATGCTGCGCATCATCACCCTCGCAGTATGTAAATGAGAGTCAAACGAGGTTGCACACATGACCAAAGCCCTCGTGCACACTTCTCACCGAGTTCCCCGCGTGTGTCGTCGTCTGAACAAGCCGCAGCCGGTTTCCGCGTCCTTACCTTTCCCCTTCTGTGCCAAGGTGAGAGTCGAGAACGAACGACGCGGCAGTTTGGTCGTCTCCCGACCGCTCAGTTGGTTGAAAGCAAGATCCCAACCGGTCAGAGATCAGACACACACCCCTGCTTCTTACCCTGGACCGGCTGGCGAATAGCGGCGGGCTTCTGTGTTTAGCGGGAAAAAGCAACTGGTGAGATGCACATGGCGGTGGCTGAAGTTGCGTCTGAGGATTCAATGCAGTGAGAGAAGCATTGCATCTGCTTGTTTTGCAATTGGACGGCTCGGACCAACGCCCGATGACATTGATGTTTCTCAAGTGATGATGCTCGGCTACGGTTTTACTCCCTATCGACTTACCTACCTACCTATGCGAAAAACCAAGAGGGTCGGTGCTTTTGCTGGTGTTGTTGTTGGTGTTGACTCGTGATGCAAACAGCAGGTCAAAACGCCTAGTGCTTCAGCTCGGCTCCCGGATTGCCCACGCTATCAGAGTCGACCATCTCAAACCCGGCGCGGGCATTGGACGAGGGGCTGGAGATGGCGTCCCGCGGTGTGGGATGGCCGTGGCCCGAGGACGGAGCTGCGTCCCCCGCTAGACCAGAAACATCAGCCCTTTATCGGTCTGTCAGCCTGGGGAGCAAAAAGACAAGACAAGACGATGAAAGGCCTAACAAGGGAGAGAGAGAGTCGTGAGGGGAGCCATTGCGACGCCGCAATGGGTACACCTCGCTTGTCAAAGCTGATACTTTACGTCAGCTCTAGTCGGGGGGTCCTAGATCAGCCAAGATACCCTCGGCTTATATTCTGCATTGGGGTTTTGGAAGCGGGCATCTCTGGTCTTAAATAGCTTTTTGTCTCTAACAACAGCAAAAGAGGAGATTGATTGATAATTGATGATGACCCATGGCCTAGACTCAAGCAGGGCGGTGCAAAGCAGACGCAAGCAAAAAGATAACCGGAACGGAATCACGTCAAGCCGCAAAGCCACACAAGCAAGGGTTCTCGGGAAGAGGAGGCTGAGTTGAGGCAAAACCGCGCGAGCATTTTCTAAATTTAGTGCTATTCCGCCCAGTCGGCGCGGGGACACGGGTGACTAGTAATTGGTTGGGCTGTGTGTGTGATATTCGTTACTGTGCCTCTTTCTGTTGTTTTATCCGGGTATGGATCTCGTAAGGCTGCGTCTGCTTCGTAGTGGTTTTTGCCTTCTCGGGTTGAAATGAGCCGCCAGGTTCAAGGGCCAGCAGGAAAAAAAAAAAAACTTTGTCTCGTCTCATCATTCCGGTCGGGTCTAGTTGCTGACGGCCAAGATCATGCTCCTGCATGGATCTCGGGAATGGCACCTCCCGTTGGGCTTGTCATTTTCAACTTGTTCCATCATGACCATCCATCCCATTCCCGCCCATCCACATTGATGATGAATCTTTTGGTAAAAAGTCAATGCAGCAGTAGGCACAGGTCCAGAAAGATCGATCGTAAAAAAATACGGCCCCATTTTTATTCACAGTGACGACGTCTATGGTGTTTGTCTGTTGTGTCTCCCCTGGTTTGATCATCACGAAAAACATTTCAATGTGGTTCCCGTGTGGATCACGGACCCCGGCTTGCTGTCGTCAGCACCAAGAGTTCGGGGTCCTGGTTCTACTACGACATCGGGGATCCAATACCACGCATCTTGAGTTGGCGACAGCATTGATGAGCTGCCCGCTTATTGCCTTTTTTGAACGTTTATGGATTCTCCCAAAGTCCCAATGCCCATCATGAATCGTCAGCAGTGAAGGCGGTAACGGAAAGTCTCAAGCCCAGAGACAAAGGCATCTTCCACCTTTTTGGTAGACAACTCATGTCATGGTGATCTTTTCATCAACAAGGCCCCCGCTGCTGGGCCAATGAAAAGATCGTCATGCTGATCGTGCAGCTCCATCTGGAGGAGGGGGAACCCGTTCTGTTTACGGTTATGCAGGCTGGTTGTTGTAAGGCGGTTTTTTTTTCCTCATCGCATAGTGCTGTAAGCTTGTTGGTGCAGTCGGACTAGATACCCGCGCGGTGTGAGATGGCGCACACAATAAGAACGAGACTGAAAACGTGCTTGGCGGCTGTTGAAGCAAGGGTCAATCTCCCAGCTGCTTCAGGTTGCACAGCCTGACATTGGTTCAATGTGATTTAACTAAATTGAAGGAACTGTGAAGAGGCTTGGGACTTTGGAGCATGTCGCGCGTGGGGTGGCTTAGCGACTTGGTAACGAGCCGTGCGTGCGTGCGTCGTCGGCCATCACGCAGCTCTCATAGTGTTTTTTAGTGGGAACCAGCTGTAACACCCACTGGAGTCGTAAGCACAACGCCTCCAAGCCTCCGGGGGAGCCCCCTGGAGCCCGGTCAACGCCAATGAGGCGCCGAGGCAGAAACGACCCAGGCGCACTGTGGAAGGACTGGGCTGAAGAGGCTGGGAACGTGTGTACAGTGTTTGCTGACGGGCTTTCGCACTAGTGTGGTCGCTGGGTCTCTCCTCTTCTGAGGGTCCATCTATGCTGCGCCACTCCACACAGGTCTCTCTCTTCTTTCTGGCTGGGGGTTGGAGGAGGATCCAGAAGTTGACGTGGAGGGGGGGCGGCCAAGTGCTCACCCCCCCGGTCTACGGCGCTGGGCTGTGTGTGGGATTGCCAGTGTTTCTCAGCAGCCCAGCCTGCTCTGCTCTGCTCACACAGCTTTTTTATAAAACCACCGTCTTCAGCCCGTTCTTCCTTGCTGCTGACATCCTCTTTTTCCTATCCTATCTCATTTCGTGTGTGCATTGCGTGTGTACGCTCGTTGCGTCTCCCATCACTACCGACTTTACACTTCCTCCTCCGACATCGTTCGCTAAAACATCAGCTTTCGCTCACTCTAAAAGTTTACGTCATCCGACCGATCTCCGACCGATCAGAAAACAAACAACAAAGAAACATCACAATGGCCGTCGGTCGCTTCCTTTGCGTATTGGTGCCGTTTGCACTCACCATCGCATCCATCGTCTTCTTCCTAGTCCCCACCCTCGCGGGCGTCGCCAACAAGGACCTCTACCTCTTCCAGGTCAACGTAGAGGACCTGAGCATCAACCCGGCAGATGTGGACCACATAGTCGGCAACCTCGACATCGACATCAAGCCCCGCGCCGACAAGATCGAGACCAACATCACCGCCAAGCTCCTCGACCTCGAAAAGGTTTATGACATTGGTCTGTGGGGATACTGCTACACTCCCTACAAGGGCAAGCGCCAGTGCGTCAAGCCCAAGTTCGACTGGGCTTCCGAGGTTCTCAACACCACCTACATCGAGCACTTTGGTTCCGCTGCCGGCGTCGAGATCAAGCTCCCCGATGAGGTCAAGTCTGCTCTCAAGGCCTACAGGACTGCCAACAAGTGGGTCGAGATTGCCTTTGTCGCTGCTATCGTCCTGTTGGCTCTCGAGGTTATTCTCGGTATCTTTGCCAACTGCTCTCGCATCTTCTCCTGCCTGACCTGGATCATCGCCGGTCTCGCCGCTGTTGTTGCTTTCGGTGCCGCTCTCGCCTCTACCCTCATGGCTGGTGCAGTTATCGGTGTCGTCAAGGGCACGGCCAAGTTCTATGGAGTCAAGGGCCACATCAACAACACCTTCCTCGCCATGGCCTGGATCGCCGTCGCCTTTGCCATCGGTGCCAGTCTCTTCTGGCTCTTCACCATCTGCTGCTGCAAGCCCGAGCACCGCAGCCGCAAGGACCGCAAGAACCGCAACTCGGATGGCGAGAAGCTCCTGGGTGGCGGCTCCCGCGGCTACGCTCCTCTCGGCAACGACCACGAGATGACGACGGGCTTCTACAACAACAACAACCAGACCCAGTCCCAGTACGGCGCTCCCCGCTACCCCAGCGGTGCTGCCCGCTCCGATCTCGCCTACGAGCCCTACTCGCACCGTGCCTAAGCCGGTCGCGGGAGGGTTTCATGAAGCTCTCACGACATGATTATTGAGTCTATACTTTGAACAAACTTGATGATGCTGCATTAATGGCGTTTTTTGGAATCTTAATCGGATATTTGGATGAACGACTTGGGCAACGGGATCTGCTACGTGCGGTCACATGGTCATGAAGGCATCATTTGGTCATTTTTTTCTTCTTGTTTCTTTGGCGGCAGTCCAATGTAGATTTGGAACTGCGGGATGGATATTGGATGGATGGGAAGATGCCGATGGATGGACGGCATGATACCCAAATCTGTTTTAAGGACATGATATGAATATACATGGCTCGGGTTACTATTCGATTGTGCGATATGAAAAATCAGTCAATGAACTAAACTATTCATTCTTTCAACTATTCATTGCTTCGTTGTATCATGGTGTATAAACTTACAAGTTAGAGTCCGTGATATGGGTCATTTAGACCAAATGTCATGGCTCAAAAAATTTCTCTCATGGCCGAGTTCAAAACCCACTCACAAAAAAACCCCAGGCAAACACACCTCACCTGCATATTATCCCTCCCTCACTGCTGACATCTCTCCCTAAACGTTCAGAATTGTATCAACTGTCAGATCGCTCATGATACAACTACAGAGGGCATATTGGTAGTTTCTTTCACATCTTGCTGTCCTATTTCTCTTTCTGGCCATGCCAGAGGTGAGTACAAAAATCTGCCCCTCCCCCGCCATCATGGGCCGACATAGGACCAAATAACAAACTCACACAAGTTGAATAAATATAGTCACGTCTCACCCGGGAATTCTTCCAGGGCCCCATCACAGCGCTCGCATTCTACCGCGGCGCAGACTATCTCCTCGCCGGCGAGGATACTCACCTGACCCTCTACGATCTCAAACTTGGGAATGTTGTCCGCGTGGCCAGCGTCCGCATCTTCTCGGCGCAACCCATCCACGGCATACGCCCACTGACTGGTGGACGAGTCTTGGTTTGGGGTTCTGCGCAGGTTGCCGTGGTATCCCATATCGAAGCTCTTCTTGGCGAGGGAGCCAACGTTGAGGATGTGGTTGTCAAGAAGACTACCGCACCAGATTGGATATATGATGTCTCCCCCTCGCCTTACCATGACTCCTCTGTTGTGCTCGCAACAGCCCACAACGAAGTTGTCCACCTCGGTCTGGACGAAGACAATGTCCCTATAGTTGGAGCTGTCGTCTCACCCTCACGACCTATTCTCTACGCCGCGAGCTTGAAGTGGATCGACCAAGACTCCGTGCTCTTCGCAGGGGGCACCGTCTTTGGCGAGATTGTCGTCTGGAAGTGCCATCTCGCAGATGGACGATCTGAGATGCTCGCCACTTTGAGTGGCCACGAAGGTTCCCTCTTTGGCCTCAACATCTCAGATGAGCTTGTCTGCCAGGATGGATCAGCCATAAGACTACTCGTTAGTTGCAGCGACGACCGTACCGTTAGGGTTTGGGATATTACCAAGCAGCATGGCACATCAGACCGAAAGCAGCTCGATTTTGCAGCACCTCGAGAGACGGGATTTGGATCAACACCAAACGGACATGATGGTTCTAGTCAGGACGCTGAAGCCCTGCGGCCCATAGCGACCATCATGGGACATGCTTCGAGAATCTGGGGCGTCAAGTTTGCTGAGCTGGCAGAGGGCGACCTTTTGCCACAGAGCCCAGTCACCATTTACTCTTTCGGAGAGGACTCGACAGCCCAGAGGTGGCAGCTGAATCTTGCCGTCTCTCCCAAGGGAATGTCTGGTTCCTTGAAGCATAAGGAGACGTTTGCTGTGCACGACGGCAAGCATCTCTGGTCACACGCTGTAATACGTCGTGACAATCAGACCATCATTGCAACTGGAGGCGCTGACAGCAAGATTTCACTCATCACACAAACCATTCCGTCAAGCTCTCAGGCTGGCACCGCACCCACCAATAATCTCACTTCCCTCGAGTTCCAACAAGTCTTGGATCAACTCCCTAACCTCCGCACTATCCAGCACGTTCGTGGCCGTGAAATCTTCAGCCGCTATACCTTTCTCTCCGAGGACAAAGTCTTGGCTACTTCCAGCTGGGGTCGTCTTATCCTTGGTACTTTCCGCTCCAACTTGAACTGGATAGAAGTCGACATAGAGAACGAGGTTATTGCTGATCTCCAATCGTGCTACACCATGAAAACCATTGGAGACGACGCAGTCATCCTAGGCACAACCAATGGTAGCCTTTACCACTACCGCCAAGATCAAGGCGTGACACACATTGGGACTGTGCCTGGCAAGGTCTTCAACATCTCGCTGCTCGCTGAACCATCTGAGGGACCTATGGAACTCATTGTGCACCTCCATGGAACAGCCGATGCTCAGTACCTGTCTGTTGACTGGCGCACAGGAGCCGTCCTCGAAACGGCAGATATCCGTGGCATGGATAAGCGGTTTGTGGCAATGTCTGCCGCCAGGGTGAAGAAAGACTTGATCGCCATCGGTTCGCGCCATGGTTTCTTGTCACTTTTGAGGCAGACTGAAAAGGAGTATCGACCTGTTCTGAACTTTAGGTTCAACAGCTCTGATGCCATCACGGCTCTGGTGCCCCTTCCTACCACAGGCGAAGGCGCTCCGTTTTATTTCCTAGCCACAAGCAGAGACACCAAGTACAGGATATATGAGGTTGAAGACCTCGGGAGCGAGGTACGACTTCATCTGCAGCATGAGGTCGCTCCCCCTTTTGCGTCCATCATCGAGGGTGGATGGTTCACGCCAGATGCTTCCCCTGAGCTGGTTCTGTTTGGTTTCAAGAGCAAGAACTTTGTTGTCTGGAACGAGACGAGAAGGGAAGAGATCGCTGCAGTTGATTGTGGAGGATCTCACCGGACATTTACCCTCGCACATGATCCCGCAGACTACAACCGTATCCGCTTCGGTTTCACAAAGACGTCCAAGCTCTGTGTCTACTCTCAGCATAGTTCCATTCATCGACCTCTTCGGCAAGGAACACACGGCAGAGAGATCCGGGCACTGAGTTCCAGTGGTCGGTATATCGCAACTGGTGCTGAAGACACCACAGTCCGTGTCTGGGGTTACGAGGAGGGTAAGCAAGGGCAACCCGCTAACAAGGGGCTGCGATGCCTTGCTTCCGCCAAGTTGCACATCTCCGGCCTCCAGAAGACCCAATGGCTCGGAGACGAATACCTCCTTAGCAGTGCAGGCTACGAGGAATTCTTCATATGGTCAGTTCGAAGACTTGACTCGCGCTACCAGGGCCTTGGTGTTTTGTGTGAAGCAGGCTTGGACGACAAAAGCCCGGCTGGCGACCTTCGAATCGTAGATTTCGATGCTTGCAAGGTCGACGGTCAGAAGAGCATCATCATCACTTTGGCCATGTCCAACTCGACCCTGAAAACGTATCGATACACCCCTGGCCATGGCTTCAAGCTCCTAGCTCGCATGTCATACACGGGAGCTTGTCTCACCCAGGTGCGCCATCTCGGGGTGGACGAGAACGGACTCTCGGCTCTCACAGCCTCCACAGACGGACATTTGGCGACCTGGGAAGCGAGCTTTGACGACAATGAAACCTCGAGCCATGTTTTGGTGCATATTGCCCCGTTGCACCAAAGCAGCATCAAGAGCCTGGATCTTCAACCGACATCTGAAGGCTTCCAAGTGCTGACAGGTGGAGATGACAATGCACTCGGTATTACAACCATCACACCTCTATCTCAAGAGGCAGGAAACCGCAGGTACACTGTCTCGAGCCGTGGTATAGTGCGCAAAGCACATGCAGCAGCCATCAACGGCTTGGTGCTAGTGCGCCGTGGGGGAGAGACATTCGGAGCCACCGTGAGCAACGACCAAAGGATCAAGATTTGGAGGATACAGCAAGACAAGACACAGCTGCTAGCCGATGAATACAGCGGCGTAGCTGACCCAGGGGACATCGCTGTAATAGACGGACCTGGCAGCGATGCTGATGCTGCTGACAGGAACCAGGGCAAGCTGAGGTTTGTGGTTGGAGGTGTGGGGGCTGAGGTGTGGTCCTGGTAGGTTTTGATCAAGTAGGGCAAGGCGTTCTGGGGTTCTTTTTGGCTTTGATGAGAGATATCCAGGTCCATTCTCAGTGCTTACTGCTGTATGATTTGCCATGGGATTTAATGAAACCCAATGTCAGCTCGGCTGCGCCTTGCACTTTGTTTCTTCTGTAAGAGGAAGTGGCCGGCAAAACCTTCAAGGACAAGAGTCCTTCGCTGTCACCCCCGATCCTTGCAAGCGTCTAGGCTTCGGGTAAGCCATGCAGTTTCGTGGGAAGAGCTGAGAAAGTCAAGAGTGACTTTTGGCATTAGCGTCTGACGTTGCATGCCATCTTGCATCGTCCCTTGCTTTAGGCTCTGCAACGGTTGGACGGTTTCGTCGGACGGTTTCCGCAGCGCCAAACTTGTTTAGACGGCGGGTCTTTCGAGACTTGCATCTGTTGGTTGGGTGTTATGGGGAGTTGCAACTCGTATTGATAGCGTGTGTGCTCGACTCTTGGCATCGTGATAGAGGCGAAAGAAAAGTCGGTCATGTTTGTCAGCGCATCAGACGTCGGTCGAGGCATGCATTTCGTCTGAACTTTTCGAGTCTTGACAAGCAAGGATTGATGCAGATAGTAAACGAGCGCCTATTCTCCACAGCGGCGCAGCCAGAGAGCACCGGCCTGGTACTGCAATTAACCAGATGGCGCATAGGGCTGACTTGAAGAGCAACAGATGGAGCTGCTTACCTGGCGACGCCGAGAATATTGCTCCTGCTGTCTTGGCCATTCCTCTCTGGGACATTTGTTTCCTGCCCTGCAAGGTCGACGCTGGAACGCCCGTCTTGTTGCGCGCGAGAGCCAAGGCGCTCCCGGCAGTTGCTGGCCGATCTGAGGACAGAGGCTGCTCACTGTCTCAGGAAGCCTGTGCTGTGTAGTCCAGTCTAGAATGTCATGCCAACGCACACACAGTCTCGACTCGAGTATCTTCCCCGAGGCTCGTATTTGATTACACGACGACAACATGAAGTTGGGCCCGTGGGTCGTCGAATTCGGCATGTTCCTGCTCGACCCCGGGAATATGACGCAGTGGGACCGCTTTTAGGCAGTGACAAAGGTGCCATCCCAGCAGAAAACCCACGTTAGTGTGCATCGTGGAATGGATCTTGAAGAGAGTCCAGCTGGTGTAAGAGGGGAAAATTGCTGGTCAAGTCAAGGGGTGACAGATGCCAAGATCTATATCGAGGTAGGCAGGTACCTCCCTCGATTCTGTTTGCAAAGCAGTGCCTGCCAGTTCCGCCTTTCCCGTCCCACGGCAGGGGAGGTCCGTTTGCATCTGCCGCTTCCCGG